TCAGTCCCCTTGAGCTTCCACGCAGGGTTCAGAGCAGTCGAAGAGTATAGTATGGGGCCTCAATTGCCTGTACTATTTTTGGGGGCTCCTTGTTATGATTATAGTATAATGGGCCCCAAAACCCTATTCTAATTCCTAAGGCTCCTAATATTGTGGTATGCTTCTGAATATGGAGTCCTGTTGGACAACGAATACAGGGTCCAAGTACCTAATAATCATATAACCATATACTCTCAGAAATCCTAACCTACAATCCTAAAACCGAGTACCTCATTATAGCGTCCTTTGGACCCTTGGGGTTAGGGCTTGGGGGTTTGAGTTGCTTAAATATTAAAGTACGGTGGCATGTTGAATTGGGGGCAAGTCTTCCCAGGCACGGTTGCTGGGCGGAGCCTGACAGCAGAGCACTTCACTCACAAGATGCAGGATACCTTGACGGACAAGCTTATGTGCGGTTGGCCTGCGTTGGATTCATCTTGCATCGTTCTGCAAACAGACCACCAAAGAATACTTGTTGCTTTCAGAATCCAGCTAGTGGTCCATCAACGTTTTGTGCCCGGCAGCGCCCGACGGAGAGACCATGTTTGGCATTGATGCACCCAGTGCTCTTGACGAAGAATACGAAACTTTCCTGCCGGAGACTGTGGCAGCAGAGGATCATGCTGCCGCTTAAGGCTAACAGTCCAGCAAACAGGGGCTCAGGTTGGTGTTTTATGGCTTATTGATTAAATGCAGGCTTTGAGATCAGACCTCTGCTGAATTGCAACTGTTTCGAACTTGTAAAGTTGGAGACGCCAGGCAGTCCCACTGAGTGCAACACTGACATGACTGCTTTACATGGCTACTATATTGCCGGACTGCTGTGGATTCCGAGCACCTGCCATGAACATCGCAAGCCTTGCCCTGCGAACCCTAAGCCCTGAAGTTTAGGGTCCAGGGTCTATTACAAGAAAATCCTCCAGACCAAGAAGCCTTCAGAGCGCGAAACTGCAGTCTTGCAACTGGGGGTTGCATCGCAAGCCTCCTCTCTCGCGCATAGATTAGGAAGGCTGCTATCGTAAGCTATTCTCCCCTTATCTAGGTGGCAATTTGGGAAACTTGTTAATTTCCCTTATGGTTCCTATAGAGGTACCTATTCATAAATACTTTTCAGAGCCCCAAAGCTACAACCCAGATATTGAATCATAAGGTTCCTTTTTAGAAGTGTTGTAGTATATACTAACCCCCCAAACCCTACATAAATTAGTAAGGCCCCCTATACTATGTGTTATTCATAAATACTTTTCAGAGCGCCAAGGCCAGGCCCGGACCGAAAACCCCGGAACACGACTAAGCCTGCATAGAACCTTTTAGGAACCCGGGGCAAGGTTCCCGGAACCTGAACTTGGAGGTTCATGGGTAGTTATAAGTAGGGTTATAAGGGGGTTTAGGGTTCCTTTAAGGGTTCTATAGGGTTTAGGGTTTAGGGTAGTTATAAGTAGGGTTATAAGCAGGGTAACTATACTTATAACCCATATTAAGGGACTTATAACCCTACTTATAACTACCCCATGAAGGTCCTCGTTTGCGGGCCCTCGAACGCCTCCATCGACGAGGTGATGCGACGAATCGTCAAGGCCTTTGGGCTTGAGTCTCTGGCATTGACTTACCTTTGGTCAGTAGGGAATCGAGGAATGGGGTACAATTATAACATTCTTCCATTCCCCACTAAACCCTAAACCCTAAACCCTAAACCCTAAACCCTACTAACCAAAGGTAAGTTGAGGGGGACTCAGGTGTAAGGTTCAAGGTTTAGGGTTCGGGGCTCGGGGTTGATTGAGGTCAGGTATTCAAGCGGTTCACGTGCTCCGTGCATACTGCCCTATAGGGCATGCGTGGCTCTGGGGTCAACTGCTGGAGATTCGGCCCGTCAATGGATAAGCCCTCAGTAGCGGGGTAGGCAACCTTTAAACCTTTTTGGGGTTTAGAAAGGTCTACCATACTTGAACAGGTTTACCTTGCCTGGGCTAGGGTACAGCCCCTAAGAGCCACATCCCGACGTCGGATCAGACAGACACTCATCGGAGAGACGGTCTGGGACTTGAAATGCTCCGGTTTGCGGCACACAGGTTCAGTTCCACTGGTGGGTTCAAGCCTATTTGCAGGATTTCGCACTGGAGGGTTGAGCTTGTCACTTTTGCAAGGATGTAAGGTTCCTATAGCGGCTGAGGGTTGAGTGCATGGGGGCATGATTTGTGATTTAGGAGTAATGTTGTTTACGGATTAAGATACCCCCCCAGATTAGACGGGGCCGTCCCGGGCATGTCATGGGCTAAATGAAGAAGTCCATTAGACCCCACCCCTATAGTACCGGAGCTCATTTAAACCCCCCCCGATTAGACGGGGCCATCCCCGAAAATAACCGAAATAAGGATTTAGGGGATTTAGAGGCTTATGACTTAACCCTAAACCCCAAACCCTGAAGCCTAAACCGTAAAGAACTCATGATGGCAGACTTTTCCTCATTAGACCAGCGCATGTCCAGCAGAGCTCAGCTTGTACTTCGGGGCAATGTTCCTGCCCAATCTGCGGGCTTCCTTCCTCATCCAGTATGCGTGGAGCTTACCCTCATCCCCCAGAATAGCAGGAACCCCCCCCCCAATTAACAGGGTCCGGCCCGGGACCAGGGATTTGCAGGCCCTTTGCTTTGACCTAGAAAGCCCGTAGCTTTGAGATGGAAGGGTCAGAGATCCCTGGCCTTGGGATCCCTGGGATTTCGGTGATATCTTCTGCTGCCAGAAACAGGTGGTTCCCTAATTAAACCGTTTGTAAAAAGAGTAGGTTTGTCAAGTTTTCCAAGGCTACCCCTTTGCAGGCCCCGCCCCCCCCAGAATAGCAGGAAACCCCCCCCGATTAACAGGGTCCGGCCCGGGACCAGGGATTTGCACTTTGCTTTGACCTAGAAAGCCCGAAGCTTTGAGATGGAAGGGTCAGAGATCCCTGGCCTTGGGATCCCTGGGATTTCGGTGATATCTTCTGCTGCCAGAAACAGGTGGTTCCCTAATTAAACCGTATATAAAAAGAGTAGGTTTGTCAAGTTTTCCAAGGCTACCCCTTTGCAGGCCCCGCCCCCCCCAGAATAGCAGGAAACCCCCCCCGATTAACAGGGTCCGGCCCGGGACCAGGGATTTGCAGGCCCTTGGCTTTGACCTAGAAAGCCCGAAGCTTTGAGATGGAAGGGTCAGAGATCCCTGGCCTTGGGATCCCTGGGATTTCGGTGATATCTTCTGCTGCCAGAAACAGGTGGTTCCCTAATTAAACCGTATATAAAAAGAGTAGGTTTGTCAAGTTTTCCAAGGCTACCCCTTTGCAGGCCCCGACCCCCCCCAGAATAGCAGGAAACCCCCCCCGATTAACAGGGTCCGGCCCGGGACCAGGGATTTGCAGGCCCTTGGCTTTGACCTAGAAAGCCCGAAGCTTTGAGATGGAAGGGTCAGAGATCCCTGGCCTTGGGATCCCTGGGATTTCGGTGATATCTTCTGCTGCCAGAAACAGGTGGTTCCCTAATTAAACCGTATATAAAAAGAGTAGGTTTGTCAAGTTTTCCAAGGCTACCCCTTTGCAGGCCCCGACCCCCCCAGAATAGCAGGAAACCCCCCCCGATTAACAGGGTCCGGCCCGGGACCAGGGATTTGCAGGCCCTTGGCTTTGACCTAGAAAGCCCGAAGCTTTGAGATGGAAGGGTCAGAGATCCCTGGCCTTGGGATCCCTGGCCATTTCGGTGATATCTTCTGCTTGCCCTTTAACCCCCTCAAGTCCTTGAACCCCCTAATTACTATAACCCCCTAACCCCCTATTGTAATACTATACTATTATACTACTGTACTACTACTACTACTACTGTACTACTGCTTTACTACTGTAATACTACTATACTACTGTACTACTACTACTACTGTACTACTGTACTACTGTACTACTACTTTACTACTGTAATACTACTATACTACTGTACTACTACTGTACTACTGTACTACTACTTTACTACTGTAATACTACTATACTACTGTACTACTACTGTACTACTGTACTCCTGTACTACTACTTTACTACTGTAATACTACTGTACTACTACTATACTACTGTACTACAACTATACTACTGTACTCCTATTGTACGACTGCAATACTTTACTAAGTACTCTCTATCTACTTACTACTATACTTAATAATTAACCCCATCCCCACATAATCAGGGGGGGGCCGGGAAAAACTTGAACCCATGAACAAGTTCAACCGGGCCAACCTTGACAGCGGGGGGGGGGGGGGTTTGTTAATCGTTTGTTAATCCGGATCCAACATTAGGGGCTTTACATTTCGGTTGCTTCTACTGCGGTTCTGGCATTTACGGTTGCGGGTGTAATTGGAGGAAGGCTGTGCCAGGAATTTGCGGTGAGAGTTTTGGGGCGGAGACCGCAGGGGCTGCTGCCCCACGTGGAAGAAGTCCAACAAGACCTTTCGAAAGTAAAAAGTGATTAATTCGGCACGCGGGCCCTCAGAGTGATGACCAGCTCTATGAATGATTGCTTCCCAAGCCAACATGGTTGGAGATATATCTTCACGCAAGCACCGTGACCCATTTTAGATTGGATTCGGATGTAGGCACCCGAGGGCGCCCCAGCCCAGCCCCTATGCAGACGGTTATATGTAAGAGCCCGAAAGACTCCAAAAACCCTAAACCCCTCCATCTTTCAGGTCCGACGGCTTGACCGCTTAGCTGAACGTGCCTGCGGGTGTTCTGGGACTTCATAGCTGCTCTGCTTATTGGTTCGAAGTCAGCGAAGCACGGACTGAGGGTATCACATGTCGATTCAGGCAGTACTGCTACCACTCACCTTAACTGTTGTGCTATTCCAGCGTGCTATCGGGCAGGAAGGCAACAGCCTACAGCTTAGCAAGGACAGGTGCGTAGGGATCAGCCAGTTCAATGCATGGATCAGCAGCCTCAATTCATGGAGGGGGATGCGGCATCCTCTGCAAACACTGCAGGGAGCCTGGTCCATACCATGTTTGGCCAAAGCCAGGGCAATTGCGAGTGATGACGGCCTGGTGCGTCGCACCAAGAAGTATGGCAAAAGACTTCTGACGCAACAGTCACGGGAGGCAAACAAGCTGGCCGGTGATCAGAGGTCCTCCCTGCAGTATGGCTGGATCAAATATCGTATTGTCTGTGCTGATGAGCTCTCGGAATGCTTGCAAAGGCATGACGTCAACCTCAAGCACACGGAAGAAATAGCCGCGCTGCTTGAAGCCCGGAACCTCATCCACTGTGTTGTGTCCAACCTGCACGATGAAGCTTGGATCGTTACGAACTACTTCTGGGAGTCACATGCAGCAGACATTAGGGAGACTCTTCAGTCAACTGTCCTGGACTTCTTAGAACACGACGACCCTAGCATAATCAGTGATGCAGCAGCCAACCCGATCTTTGAGCGGGCGCTGATGCAGCATTTCCAATCGGGCGATCAGCACGAACCTCGGTTGTGGCACACACTTTCCAAGCTGAAGGCACCACTCAACCTTTTGTCTTTCTGTGTCCAGCAAAACTACAGCGAGTGCATCGATCTCCTTCTATCAGAACATTCGATGCAAACTGCCAAGAAGCCCTGGTTGGCCTTTGCAGAGCCAACACTGGCAGTCGACAAATACCAAAACACAGCTTTCCACATCGCGGCCTGGTGTGGAAGCGCAGAGAGTTTGGAGCTATTAGTGCAGCATGCATCACGCCACTCCTACTCTCTTAAGGAGCTGCTGGATAGCAAGAAGAAGACATGCCTAACTCTCGCACGTGAAAGAGGCAACAACCGTTGTGTGGACATTTTGGCGCCGCTGTTCGGTCACCACGTCAAGGAGGGCCATCTTTCAGACCGTTCTTGCCCAGAAGTGGGTGCCCGGCTTTTCCTAGAGATCAAAAGTCTGCTTCTCAGACGATCGCATTGGCCCCACCTCAGGACTTGCTGGCATGGATTGACTTTGATGGCCTGTCATGGCTGGTACGTGAAGACGTCAAGTCTCGAACATATGCCGAAGATGACGTGTGGATTCCCATCTTACAGGGCAACGAGATCGTTAGGGTTGAATCTATGATGCGGGATTGCGTCTGGGATGTATCCATGGCGGCTGAGAGCCTGCCGGAGCGTGTGCTGGCATCTGACTACGGGTACCTCCGCATTCAAGTTGCTCCTAGACGTAGAGCTCGCATGCCCACAGAAGCTGCTCCTTCCGCCTTACTGGAAGTCATACAGACTATTCTGGAAAGAGTACCCCACGGGAAGCGGGTGAAAAACCTGACGCTCATAGGCTTGACTTTGCTGCAAGATACTGGGGAAGCTGAGATATGGTGTAGCATGTTCCAGCTGCTATCGCGGTGCAAGAGCATCAGCTTTCGCAAGTGCTTATGCCAGCCGATGACATTGCTCTACATACTACGGGCGGTCAGACATGTGCTCGAGCTCGGTGAGTATGAGTGGTCCAACCTTTATGTTATACCTTCCTGTGCCGTATCTGTTTCCGATGAGTCGGCTGCGGGATTCCGTGCAGAGATGCCCGTGTTTTTGAACGCTTTGCGAAACAGCAAACTCCTCCATATTTCAAGATCTGGCTGCAAGCAGTGCAAACTACCTTCTGCTCATATGCAAGAGCCCGATCGATTCTGGGTTACGCTCGTGGCGAGCAGCCTGGACTTCAACCGCTTTGTAAACATGCTGAAATCGAGAAGGACAGCTGGACATCAGGAAGACAATCCTCGGGCTGATGGTGTGCCAGCCTTTTTCCTCCATGGTTTGGTCGACATATGGAGGTTCCTTTACAGCCCTGCGCGTGTGGTGGAGACGAAAGCTCTAGGCATGGATGATGCTTTGCAGCCGGCAGCCGCAGTCTATGTCCGTGAGTGGCTTAAGAATATCACGAATGGCCTGGCGGTGTCATCAGACTCAGATTTGCGTGAAATCCAGGAGTTGATGGGCCTGAGAGAGACAGAGTTGCAAGATTTGTTGAAGCAGATGGATTTTGCAGTTTGGGCCCTGCTCCGCATGCACCGGCTCATGCCTTTCGTGATAGACTGTGTAAAGAGTCAAGTTCCGAGATACTTGCAAACCAAGATGTGCAAGAGCGATGCATACTTGCGCGATCTTGAGTCCCAAGTACCAGATGTTTAGGCTTCAAGGTGCTTGGGTCTGCTGTTTCTTGGACCGCTGTGGACGCCGGAAAGGGACGCGCCAGGTCTATAGCTAGCACTCCGCCATGAAGCCTGCGATCCAACGAGGAAGCCTTACCATAAGGGTCCATGTAGCTAAATAGTATGTAATACATTGGCCTTAAAGTAGTCCCTATATAGGTACATTGTGGCCTAAGTATATACTAGTTGGGTACATGGACCCTTAGGGTTAGATTCTTCGATAAGACAGGAGTCCGAACAAGCATCAGAGCTCAAGAAGTCTTGCCACCATGCACAGTTCAAGCCCGGCGCACGTGCATCTAGCGCAACTCGACAACTGCAGATACTACATGTCGTGCGTGTATATATATATATATGCATACGAGGTATTTATGTACCTGTGTATACATACATACATACATACAGAATAGGCGCATGCAGAATAATCTGTATCATATATATATAACGATATTTTATACAATATTATATCACTGATACTGTCCAGGGTTCAGGCTTTCCTTTGGTTCTACACACTCTATTGCAGGATGGATGTGTCAACGAGATTGGCGAGCGGTACCAGCCGCCCATGATCAGGCATCCGGCCGCGCAACATGGGCGTTTCAGAAACCGGAAAGCCTTCGTTTCAGGTCTTTGTGGCACCTATGCTTAGCGTTCTGTGTTGTTGTTCCTCATTTTCTGAAACTTTCATATCCGCCTGAAGGGCCGCGGTACTTGCGTACTCCATCTTCACTACATGAAACTGTTAAGGCACCCCCCAACACCCCCAAAACCTTCTCATGATAGCCTCAATGTGTCGAATGTTCGAGCTTAGAGCAAAGGGTTTAAGGTTTGTGAGTAGTACAGAAGCCTGGATAATCACTCGTACTAGTCCTCGGGGTTCCCTAATAACTAACAAGAAATCGATACTAGTTACTACCCCTAGGCCGCACAGTAGTTCCTTTTGGAGGTTCATATTTAGAATACTATAAGGTAATCCCAAAACGGAATAACTATGGGGCCTATGGGTATCGATACTAGTTACTATAGTATACCACCGAACCCTGGGGACCCCTAGATTATCGGGAGAGCTTCCGGTAAAGGTGTCGTTCTTGTTTATATATATATATATACGAAGACACCCTCAGGAACTTTAATACTTGTTCAGGTGTTCTAGAAAGCCGTAGGCGGGTTATGACCCTTACGTCTAGTGCACATTCCAGAGTTAATAAGCAATTGGAGTCACCAAACGCTCATTGCTATACAACTCTGTGGTCGCCTTGCCAAAACCCACAGCCAGTAGTATAAAGCTCGGAAGAATTACTGCACTTGCAAGCGTGTCCAAATTGGAATCGTCCCGCAGCAACCATGGGTTTAGGCCTTTTGTGTTATGCGGGGGCTTGAGGGCTTGTCTGTTGCGGGTCAGGCGCACGGCTAAACTGCGGTATTCCTCCAGGCATATATTTATATATACATATACATATACATATACACATATATATATATATGTACATATACATATATGTATATATATATATATATATATATATTTATTTATTTATTTATTTATGCGCTCTTTGCATAACGCCTCTCCTGCACCCGGACCGGTGCTGTCGTGTTTTTCTAGACAGGATGGGTCCCAACGCACATCCTGATCTGAAGGACTGCAGAGAGAAAGTCAATTTCTAGGATGCCCAGTGCTACCGTTACTCCCTTTTTGTAGTCCTAGGTTCCTTATAAAGTTACCCAGTACCAAAAAGGGAGCCCTTCGTATTCCGAGGTTACTGGTCATCCTAGATTGCGATAGTTGAACCGCTAAGCCTAACCCGGGATCTGGATGGCCTTTACACGGATTCCCTTGACGTTTCTTGCGAGGTTTCTGTGGGGATACCTTTAAGAGCCCGAATAATCTTGACGCTTCACTTTCAATGGGTTTGGGGATGAGGGCCAAGGCTCAGCGCCAATACAAACGATTTGTGGCCGTTGCTCTGGCGATTTGTTGCCGTTGCTTGGGCCTCGAAGTGGTGCCCCAGAGGCAACAAGTACAATTTGTTGCTGTTGCTTCGGCCGTGAAGCGGTGCCCCAGTACTAAGACGTACGATTTGTTGCGGTTGCTTTGGCCTCGAAGTGTTGCGCCAGTGTTAAGATGTACGATTTGTTGCCGTTGCTTTAGCCTCGAAGCAGTGACCCAGTGCCAGGGTGTACGATTTGTTGCCGTCGTTTTGGCTTGCCCTTGCTTTGGCGCCGAAGTCACAATGCTAAGAAGTACGATTTGTTGCCGTTGCATTGGCCTCGAAGCGCGATTTGCTGCCGTTGCTTTGGCCTCGCTTTGGCCTTTTTCGATCTACGGTTTAGGGCTTTGGGGTTGCCGGGTCTCTAAACGCTGAACCCTAAACCCTGTCGTGGCTGAAGGTGGGGTGGGTTTTGCTTTGTCCTAGCAGCTTGGGAAATTCTGAGACCTGCATAAACCTGGGTCTAGAGTAGCTTAGGGTTTGGGATTTAGGGGTTTAGGGTTTTAGGGTAGGGCATGGGAAGTATAGAAAAACTGCGGGAGTTTAGGGTCTTCCCCTAAACCTTAAACCGTGAACTCTGCGCAGGATTTTTCCATGAATGCCTTGGTGCACAAGCGCCTTCAAGCCGGGTGTCGCTTGATTTGCAGATGCCAGGGTCACTCCAGGGGCCACGTGAGGTCTTTGAAGGCCCTAAAGTGACGATGTTCAGGTTTAGGAGTTTAGGGTTCAGGGATCAGGGTTCAGGGTTTAGGGATCAGGGTTTAGGGTTTAGGGATCAGGGTTTAGGGTTTAGGGATCGGGGTTAAGGGTTTAGGGTTTAGGGATCAGGCTTTAGGGATTATAAGACTTCAGAGCTTGGGGGTAGTTGAGACTTTGGTGTTCAGGGTTTTAGGCCTTTTGGGGTCCCTAGAGCCATTGATGCTGCACAGTTGCTGGTCTCGTCAAAATCTTGTTCGAGGAATGCAGAACTTGCAACATCTATTGAAGCTTCCCCCAGTCCCGACTTTCAAGAGATACCAATTCCAACCGAATTCCACAACTGTCCAGTCCAAACGCTAAACTAATTGTTGCAGTGGTACCGTATCTGTGCAGTGTAGTGCCTATAAATCTAATGAGGCTTATGTACAGAGACATGTGTGTGTATATGCACGTATGTATGTAGGCATGTAGTATGCGCATACATTCACACATACATAGACACATACATGTACACATATACCTGTGAAAGGTTTGGCCAATGAAAAGACAAGTACATAAACACAGAAACTGAAATCTAGATGCATACAACATGAAAAACCAACAATAAAATGAATAAACAACGACTACATGTACACGTATGTATGCACACATACACATAACCATACACACACTGACATACAAGCACACATATATGAAAGCAAAATCAGGTGACATGCCAGACTTCCAGAAGAAGGCACATTGACGCACTTCGAAAGGTCTGGTCTTCCTAAGCGATACCAGTGTAAGCGTGTAGGGGCTTAAGGTATTGGTTTTTTTGTTTGAAGGCTGCCAGGTCTGAGGTGCAATACGTTAATGGGTCTATGGTCTAGCCCTAAGGGTCCATGTACCCAAATAGTATATACTTTGGCCCCAATGTACCCATAATATAGGGACTACAAGAAGGCCAATGTATATACTATTTAGGTACATGGACCCTTAGGGTAGGGTTACTGGGTGTCAGGGCCGGGCCTTGTGTTTGATGGTTTAGGCAGTTTAGGCTTTAGGGCTGGGCGCTGGTGGGGGTTTGCAGGTTGCCAACTCCAAACACGTCGAGAACAGCGTCGTTGATAGAAGATCGAGCGAGGCTGCGATTAGATTTGGTTCGTACCGAACTTGTAGACTAATGATGTTTATGGGTTCAGGGGTTTTGGCCTGGGGTGAAGGTCCCACCACACCGTAGAAGCAAGAAATCCTTCAGTCTAATCTTCAGGCTCAGAGCAGAATCGGTCCTAAAAACCCGCGGCTGCGAGGAAGTGCCTTCGGGCTTAGGGTTTAGGAATTGTTCCTGGAGCCCAAAGTCTAACGCCTAAACCTCAAAGACCAATATGCCTATAAACCGAATACCTAAACCTTCAACATCAATTCCTAAACCTTAAACGATGCCTAAACCTTCAACACCAATGCCTGAACCTTATAAACGATACCTGAACCATCAACACCAATAGCCCTAAACCCTAAACCCTAAACCCCAAGCCCAGTGCCTCGTTTCGTTCTCTTGGTTGTTCTTGGCTCAGCCTCGGGATGACCCGTGCCCTTGCAGGAGTCGGAAAAGATTCGCTTGCTGAAGAGCAGCAGGCCGACTCAGGGCTTGTCAGGGGGTTTTCAATCGGGGTTAGGGGTTTCGGGTTTCAGCACAGGTGTTAGGGGTTTAGGGCTCATGGTAGGGGTGAGGGGTTTTGGGGCTAGGATGGATAGGATAGGGGTCAGTGGTTTGGTGTTTAGGATAGTGTTAGGGGTCCAAGAGTTAGGATGGAGGTTAAGGGCTTAGTGGCAATTTAGGTGGTCTTATGCTGCTGGGTTAGGGTGTGGGGTATGATGCCTTGAGGTTCCTTGGCGGGTACGGGCTCTTGTTTTCGGTACAAGGACCCCGAATCCTTTGACGCGGAAGCTGCAAGAGTTTTGAAAACGCCTCGTACTGTTCAGCATTGCAAACGTTCTCTCTGGACCCACGATGCTAATGTAAGGTATAGCGTCAACAGCTGATGCCTTGCCAAACTTCTCTTTGTCTACACCGGCACCCAATACTGTGTGTTAAAGATTTGTCAAAAGCTGATTCGAAGAATCCGACTCTAAGTCGTGTAGTCCACCGCAGCTTATGACAACCATTGAGAACCCGAAGCCCTAAACATCCCTGAACCCTTTAATCATAGGGACCCTTAAGGGGGCTAGGGGGAACTATACCTCCTTACATGCACCTGATTAGGTCTTTTGAGGCCCCTTACCCCCCTCCCCCGTACCCCCTAAGGGTCCCTATGATTTACGGGCCCCAATCAGGCTGATCTGCTCCACATTGAGCATCTCGGGGCATCGGGACATGGTGAACTTTCCCGAGGACGGCGGCATATCTTGGGTTTCAACGTCCCAGGACGTACGGCGACGGAATGCTTGGTTGGACCCGATATCTGTTTAGGGTGGTTGGGGCTATAGTCTGGATCCAAAACCTTTGACAATACCCCATGCTGTACCATGAGTACCCATGCGCCCCATAGGAGTTCCTTTTGGGGATTACCTTACGGGGTTCTACATATGAACCCCCAAAATGAACTACTATGGGGCCTGTGGATATGGCCGCCGGAAACATAAGGGTACATGCTGCGCAATGCGGGAGCCAAAACCAGCGAGCAGGCGATGTGTAGCTATCTTCCTCTACAGCTACAGCGCCTGCGCGAGCACTATACAGGGATATCCCTAAGGGTCCGAAGGACCCAATAATTAGGTAATTACTCGGGTTTGGGATGGCAGTTATGTAGGTTACTATTTTTGAGAGTATATGATAATTGGGTACTTGGACCCTTAGGGTATAGTCTCTGGTTCAGTGTTTGAACCTCTTTAGTACGTGTACCGTGGGGTTTGGAGGGAATAGGGCTATCACACTCTTGCCCTACACTTTAGGTCCTGCAACCCGAGCCAGCACGTGTCTGAAGGACTTCGACACAGTTGTCATCGACGAGGACTGGAGACCCATGATATGGCAGACCGAAAATCTTTGCCTTCAGCTCTAAGCCCTGAAATGTAAAGCCCCAAGCCCTGAACCCCGGCTCGAAGCACTAAACCCGAAGCCCTCAACCCCAAGCCCTACCTAAACCCCTTAAGCCTTAACCCCCAAACTTAAGCCCTAAACCCTAAACCCCCTAAACCGTAACCCCCAAAGCCCTAAGCCCCGCCTTAACCCGGAATAACCTACCCTTCTAAGGACTTATGTAATGTAAGGAACTCAAAATAAGGAGCCCTACAAAAAGCCCGGTAAGCCCTGATCACTACTTGGAGGATCATGGGACTTAGTAAGCAAGGTTATGAATAAGGCAACTATACTTACAATTAGTTATAACCCAATTTATGAAGGTACTTATAACCTTACAGAAGGGACTGCCATGGGGCCTGGGTTTTTGCACACCCACTGTTTTGCACTTATTGCACTACTTGTTCGATACTTGTCGTTCAGGGTTGCTTTGCATGCTTCGGAAGGCCCTCTGGACCCTCTCTAACCTTACTTACTAAGTCCCAGGATCCTCCAAGGACGCTCAAAAGTAAAGCCGGGGCCCTCCTCAACCGAACTCCGGGCCGACCCCGGCTCAGTGGAATTCTGTTTTTTCACAACATAACACCCTTAAGGTTTAGGATTTAGGGTTTGGGATTTAAAGGCTTTATTAAAGATTTGGGGTTTAGGGTTTAGGGGTTGGGATTTGCAGATTTCGGTTTAGGGTTTACTTTAGGGTTTGGGATTTAAAGGTCTAGGGTTTCGGATTTAGGGTGTAGGGTTTAGGATTTAGGGTTTAGGATTTCGAGTTTAGGGTCTAGGGGTGTGGAGGTGTAGAGTTTCGGGTGCGGAGAGCAAGGAAACTGCAAAGCCTGAAGCCCCTATGAGGGGTTGGGGTCTAGTGTGCATAACTGGGCTTGGAGTACCATACTTTACTACTTTTCTTTTAAAGGAAACATTATGAAATAAGGTTTTTACTTTTTCTCCCCGGTTACTTACAACCCCAGATAATACTTCCCTGGACTGGCTAGTCCTTTGTGGCCCCGAGCTAGCCCAAAACCCCTGAACCCCAAACCAGCAATTTCAGGATATCTTTGAAACCCCAAGGAAAGCATCAGCACTATGTCGTACTTCAAGCAGTCACAATCACAAGCAGCACCAGCATCAGGAGTAGTAGTAGCATAGCCATTCGGTACTAGTGAGTTCTTGCATCAACGGCAGTAGCATCAATGAACATACATGCCGACGAAACTCACAACTGCTAACAGCAATGTGCAGTACGAAACTTGCTGTAGCAGTGGTATTGTTTGTGACGGAAGCCGACCCAGCAACGGATGTGTATGTGGTGGTTGTAAAGGCTGTCGAGGATACACAGACTTACGAAAGAACCCTGAGCACGCCACCACTGGGTGTTGTAGCCAGCGCGAGCATTAGACCAGACAAAAGTTGGAGGCATTCATGGATTGCGAAACCCATTAAGTTCCGTTCTGGCTGATTCTTTGGCAAAAGTCCCGAACTTGTAAGGTTGGCTCCCCTTTCTGATACTCGGTGTCATACTTGGTTCGTCCCTACTCTTCCAAACCCAGACCTAGTGTAGGAACCTGATTAAGAAACCGTGGGCCTACAACCCGCAAATAGTAGGATGCATATAAGGAACCCTAATAAGGCCCGAGGTTTCTTAATCAGGTTCCTACATTAGACCGCAATTCGGCTCAGTCTGACCAAAGTCGCAGGCTTCGCAAGGCGTGGAGGTCTCGACGCTCGTTCCACTGAAGCTGGGATGTAGGCGCATCTCGGATTCTAGCCCTAAGGGTCCATGTACCCAAATAGTATATACTTTGGCCCCAATGTACCTATATAGGGACTACTTTAAGGCCAACATATATATATATATATATATATATATACATACTATTTAGGTACATGGACCCTTAGGGTAGTGTAGGTTGGCAGGGGCGAGGCGAACTTTCAGGGGTCTCAGGGCTTCGGTCTAGACCCAGATTTCCGGGAGGATCTGGAAAGTGCCCTATAATACTAAGGGTACTTTCTAGGAACCCCCATTAAGGGATCTACGTTTGGGATCCTCCCCTATGCCCTGAACCCTAAAACCCTATGGCTCCCTGAAAGGGAATCTCAAAGGAACCCGCCCCCATCAAGGGAGCCACCGCCCGGACCCTCCAAAGAGGGGTCTGCGGAGTTGTTGGAGCTTCTAGAGTTGAGTGTGACGGTTGGGTGGTTTAGGGTTCAGGGTTTAGGGTTCAGGGTTTAGGGTTCAGGGTTTAGGGTTTAGGGTTTAAGTTTCAGGGTTTAGGGTTCAGGGTTTAGGGTTTAGGGTTCAGGGTTTAGGGTTCAGGGTTTAGGGTTCAGGGTTTAGGGTTTAAGGTTCAGGGTTTAGGGTTTAGGGTTTTAGGGTATTCCCTCTTACCCACGTTTTTTGGGACGGCGCATGTAAGCAGAGCTAAACCCATACATACTGACCCTAAACCCTACACGGTATCCTGCTACACTTTCGTGAGGGTTCAGAGGTAATTACTTGATAGCAGACAGCATGATTTCCGTAACTTTTGACGACTGTCTTAGTTCTATTACGATCGTTCGTCGCACTATTCTTCTTATGATAGCTGTACCCGACCCTAGCCGAAACCCATAAAACCCTAAACCCCCAAAGCCCTAAGCCCTAAACCCTAAACCCCTAAACCCCTAAAGCCCTAAACCCTAAAACCCATGTACAAAAGCGCAGAGGCGGCTGATCCTCGTCGGAGATCCGGAGCAGCTGCCAGCCACCTGCTTCTCCGAGAGCCCTGAGTGCAATTGATCGGGCTTGGGGCTTAATGTAGGTTTAGGGTTTAGGGTTTACCTGTAGCCGAAAAGACCTACCTTTTTAAGGAACTGTATATAGAAGCCATAATAAGGAACCCTAAAAAGGTAGGTCTTTTCGGCTACAGGTAGGGTTTAGGGACTTAATATTTAAATTTAGGGTTTGGGGGGGGGGGGGGGGGGGGGGGGTTTAACCATGATTATTGTATAATATACTTCTCCGAGAGCCCCCTGAGCGCAATTCGTCGGGCTTAGAGTCCAGGGCTAGGAATTTGGCTTACTTGGAGGCCCAGGGGACTTCGTAAGTAGGTTATAAGTACAGTTATAAGTACCCTAAATGGAGTTACCCCAATTATAACCCTACTTATAACCTACTTGCTAAGTCCCCTGGGCCTCCAAGTAGTGTCTGAGTAGGTGACAAATTGATACATGGGTGGTTGTCAAAATTATGGTCCCTTTTTGGGTCCCTATGTTAATACGGCATCTAATATTTAGGGTACCCAAAAAGGGACCATAATTTTGACAACCAGCCACATGTTGAGCGCTTTTGTTCCGCAGTTCTTTGGCTTTGCGTGCCAGCTCTGGCCGACTTCGGCTCAGATGCCCTACCCTAAGGGTCCATGTACCCAAATAGTATATACTTTGGCCCCAATGTACCTATATAGGGACTACTTTAAGGCCAATGTATATACTATTTCGGTACATGGACCCTCAGGGCGACATCCCAGCAAGTAAAGCTTGGCAAGCTGCATGTTCTCGTCTTCTTTCACACTTCTTCCGCAACAGGAACCTGCAAATTGCAATGCAGACAAAGTAGCTTGCCGCACAGGGATCCGTAGAAATTGAACTTCCTGAAAAAAATGCTGCAAAAGACAGCCTGGAAAGAGATGAACACACAAGAATACAGACAGGAAAAAGACACAAAAGCATACCTAGACTAACATCGACCGTTGCTGGAATTTTTGAGTTTCCAAGACAACCCCTGCATGTTGAATTTCAAGTTATTCGAGACCATGAAATCAAAGAAGTCTTGCAACATATGCACGGTTTACAGTTTCAGGGTTTCGGGCAAGCACCATCCACGTGAAATCCCTTGCAAGCCTAAGCCCTAAGCCTCACACAACAAGAAGCCAAGCACACAAATGTTGAGCTAAGGATTGCCAAGGAGCCCCTCAGGGCGCATAAGGTCAGAGTTTCAGATCTGCATGAACTGCTATTGGGTGCCGAAAGGAGCCGCCCAACGATTCTATTCGAGTTAAGGGCATTACGTATCATAGGATTCTAACCGGATCCCCAGAAGGATCTAGGGTAGGATTGTTGTGCTAGGGGTTTCGATTTGTGGCTGGATTTTTGAAGGGCTCCGCAACCCTGAAAGGAGTTTTGAGGCTTTACGGTTTGGGGACAGAGTCTGTACTCTAGGACCTGGAGTAGGCCCTTATTCCCTTTTTTCAGGGTTCAGGTTCCCTTATAAGCCCCTTTAAACCAAAAAGGGCAGCCTTTTTATTCCTAGGTTACTCTTAGGTCTTGTACTTTAGAAGCTAGAAGGCTCATGTTCGAAGGGTTTAGGTCCATTCAGGTGTTTGTCTGATTGTCTAGGGGTTGTAAACCCTTAGCCCTAAACCCCCTGCTGACGAGTATTCAGTAGCAATCCCCTCTCATAGTTCCAAGGTCGTTTCGAATAATTCGCAACATGATTATGAGTTCGAGTTTAGGGTTTGAGTCGGATTTCTGGCTTCATACGAGTTTGCTGCACCTGCAGGAACACAAGTACGACCGAAGCCTTTTCCAACGCTTGCAGCAGACGCAGTACAAGGTGCCCTGAGTCGATACAGACAGAGCCCTAAGGGTCCATGTACCCAAATAGTATATACTTTGGCCCCAAAGTACCTATATAGGGACTACTTTAAGGCCATTGTATATAGTATTTAGGTACATGGACCCTTAGGGGAGTTCCATCCACCGCCGCGTAGCAACAGCAACAACAACAACAATGATAATGACAGTCATAGCAGGAACAGTAAGAGCAGAAGCAATACGGTAGCAATACAGCTGCCTGCACACTGCTATGACCATCAGACAGTAAGAACGAGGGGGGTCATAGGATGGACAGTGATGGCACCAGCAAAGACGCCGGCGGCACCACCAGCATTCGCGCGAGAACCGGACACCAAGCAACAACGGCATCATGTGGAGCGAAAATTGGACACTCGGCCACTGTAGTTTTTGCATGGATAACAACTACAAAGTAAATACTGTCAATATGTTGCCGTAGCTGTCATGATACTGAAAACAAGCAGGACAGCAGTAGCGATTGTAGACGATGTTGCATCTGCGCCGTCATCGTCAGAATCATCACCAACATCATCATCAGCAGCACCATCAGCATCAACCACAGCATGTTTCTGAGGTTGGTCATGGTGGTAATGACCGTCATCATCACACTCGTGTAACAGTTGCCGCTATTGCACTGATGTGCCTGCTCACAGAAGTGCATACCCGCCATGACAATCTCAAAGATGAAGCAGCAAAGCCGTCAGATAAGGTCGAATGGGTTTAGAGCTTCACTACTCTCAAGTTCAACTTTAGGAGTTCTATGTCTCACTGAAGAGTTCTTAGTACGTTCTAGGTTACTCTTGGGTCTAGACTCATTCTATGTAAAATGTAGATCGCACGGCGACGCCAACCGGTCATGCAGTTCCACGTTTGCGAGTATTCACTGGCTGGAGGTTAGCAACATATTGAAGCTGGGAAGCCAGCCCCCAGAGAGCCCAACACACCCCTTAATTAAGCAATATAGCTCAAATCATAATATGAAGCCCTATACAATTTAAGCCATATTGCTGAATTAGGCTTTCTGGGCAGCTGCGAGGTGAACATGCTGAATACCCAGTATCGCATGCACCCAGACATCAGCCAGTTCCCCTCCGTGAACTTCTACGACGGAGCCTTTATCTGAAAGCTGTCACCCCTCAACCCTAAACCCTTCATACGGTTGATGATATAAATCCTGCATTACCTTAAGGACCCTAAACTATGGGAATTATGGTATATTTCCTATTATGGGTAATGCAGGATTTATATCATCAACCGTATCAAAACCCCTGAACCCCTAAAACCTTAAATCCCCAAATCCCTAAAGCCTTTTTCCCAAACCTGAAGTCCCTCACCCTTACAAAGCATCTCAGGTCCTGCAAGCCCCGGAATCCCATGTTTGGAAATCGCCGCTTTCGGACCACTCGTGAGGGTGTCCTCCGTTCTCGGGACATTAGGCCTCATATCCCAGAAGTTAGAGGGTTTAGGCTTTAAGGTGTAGGGTTGAGGGTTTCATGTTTAAGCTTTTAGGGTTTCGAGTTTAGGCTTCAGGGTATACCTGTAGCCAAAAAGACCGGGCAAAATGGAGGCAGTCACGTGTTTTGTGCTGGAAAAAGCCCCGATGAATGCACCACCTTCCCGTCAGAGACTTGGCCCCAACCCTAAACTCTGAAGGCCCTACAGGGCCTCAAAATTTCCTAAAGCCAAAAACCTAAACTTTTTTAGACCCGACAATGTAACTATTCCTAATTGAGGGAAAGTTAAACTAGCCAGTAGTCTACACTGAGGTTTCGACCTTTTGACTCGGGGAGTCGGATTTCGGGCTGTTTTGTGGATCAGACCTTAAAAGGTCTTGGGTCTGGGGTTCCCGCGAACCCCTATGTCGGTAGTCGGTAAAAGTCGACCGTAGCTTCCCAATCTCTATGCTCGCAGTGTATGTAAAGCCCCTAAACCCTAACCCACAAACCCTAAACCTTAGTTACGACTAGGGCACCCTAAACCCCTAACCCCTAAAACCCTATAACCCTAAGCCTTGCGCCGAGACTGACATGGCTCACCGGGTTGTCGACTCAACGGTCGTTATCTAGAGCCGATGTTTGGGTGCCCCAAGGCCACAATCACAGACGAAATACAATCAAAGTACAAATATTATCAGAATTACTGTTCTCCTGATTTTCCACATTACTAACAGTATGATGATTGATATGTTGGTTATCATTGTTCTTTCAAGTCTACAGGTTATGATTGCTTTTTTATGCTAGTACTCAAACCTCGGCGGATCGACCCGACCACGAACAAATCTCCAGCGGCTTCTCCAAGGAAACTTGCTGGACTTCCGGGACAAGGAGGCGCCGGTTTAGTGATCGGTCTAGGGTTCATAGTTTTTAGGGTTTCAGAGGGTTTCAGAGTGTTTCGGGTCTGCTTCATGAGGGTTTAGGGTTTAGTTTTAAGGTTTAGGGTTTTGGGTCTAAGGTGTTAAGGTATGTACTTACCTTTGGTTAGTAGGGAATGGAAGAATGGGGAACAATTATAGCTACTATTACGACCAGTCTTCCATTCCTACTAACCAAAGGTAAGTTTAGTGGCCGAAGGAGTTAAGGTTTGGGAGTTGGGGTTCGGGGTTTAGGGGTTCTAAACCTGAAACACTCCTAGCCTAGAGCTTTGCGTCCAACATGCTCTTGGGGTTCAGCTTTGGGAGGTCTCCACAAAAGAGAGGTCGTGGAAGGTTGAGGCAGGCCTTCGGGCTGGATAGCTAGAATCGCGAGAGCAAGGAAACCCGTGCGGCAGGGCTCAGCACAGACTTGCCATCTTCCGATGCCGTACGCCATAAACTCTAAAACCTAAACTTCGACTAAAACCCCCTAGGATCAAAATCGCCCAAAAGCCTTACATAGTATGGCCTTTGGGCCCAAAAGCCTTAATATATAAGTCCTTAGATCCCTAAGAACCCCTAAAACCCCTCAACCCTGGACTCTCACCCCTGCGCAACCCTCGATCTGACGCTCTACTTGGAGGGTCTGTAGGGGCTTAGTAAGTAGGGGCTCCTTTAAAGGGGATTACAAGGGTTCCTTTAAAAGGCTCTGTAGGGGTACTATAGGGTTTAGGGTTTAGGGTTCAGGGACTTAGTTAGTAGACTTATAAGTACCCTAAAAGGGACCCTAATTGGGGTTAAGGTACTTATAAGTCCCTAAAATAACTACTTACTAAGTCCCCTGAAGACCCTCCAAGTAGGGTTTAGGTAGGGTTCAGAAAATCCCAAACCCTACTTGGAGGTTCATGGGTAGTTATAAGTAGGGTTATAAGGGGGGTTGAGGGTTCCTTTAAGGGTTCTATAGGGTTTAGGGTTTAGGGTAGTTATACTAAGTAGGGTTATAAGTATGGTAACGATACTTATAACTCATATTAGGGGACTTGTATCTATACTTATAACTACCCATGAACCTCCAAGCACAAGCTCAAAGGTGCTGCGCTAAAGGCCCTATAAAACGACGAGAGAGGGACCATGATCCCTCTACATGAACTCCAAACCCACGAACCCTAAGGCCCTGAACCCTAAAGGCCCTTGTGTAAGCTGAAGCTCTTAACTCCACATCCTGAAACCAGAATCCTACATCTCTAGACGGGGCTCGACGGACGCTGTCAAGTACGTGAGCACCATGTCTTCGGCTTTCAGGCGGAATTGGAGGTTTGGTGGTTTGGTTCTTTAAACATGAGCTCAATGAAGATAAACCTTAAGCATAAAGCCTAAATCCTGAACCCGAATCCCTGACCACGACCCTTAAACCCTAAACCGAACCTGAAACCCTGAACTGAGATTTTTACAGCTCAGGACAAAAGTCTGAGATATACCCTAAAGCTTGACCACAAACCCTCATCCGCATGTCCCCGATATTCCTGCACCCTAACATGGGACTTTCCGAAAATTGTGGATACCTTGTTTTTGGGTCCTCACAATAAGGATCCTAGTATCTAAGGTATTATATGAGGGTCCCGTATTTTCGGAAACTCCCACATGAGATTTGCAGACTTTAGGACAAAAAGGGCTATTGTAGAAGCCAGAAAGTTGAAACATGATTATCACCATACCCTTAAGGTAAAGTATAAGGGGTCCTAGCACTAGTCCTCCTAAAGCCATGTTCCAACTTTCTGGCTTCTACTAGAACCCTAAACCTCTAAACCCTAAACCCTAAAGCCCTTTTTGCTAACCTTAAGGTTTTCCTTCTACAAGTTCCCCTAAAACCCTAAGGTTTTCCTTCTACTAGAAGATGTGCGCTGCAGGCCTTCGAGTCTGAATATCCCACCAGCTGGTCGCACATCCCGTCCGTGGGACCCAATGGCTTCAAGATGGGTGGTTTTCAATATTAGGGTTTAGGGTTTTAGGGTTCCGGGTTCAGGGTTTTAGGGTTTAGGGTGGTTGTCAAAATTAGGGTCCCTTTTCGGGTCGCTAGTATAATGCGGCACCTATTATTTAGGGTACCCCAAAAAGGGATCATAATTTTGACAACCACCCAGATGGTTTTGAGTTCTACCGTTTACGGTTTAAGTCCAGGGCTTGGGGCCTTTAGGGTTTTGGGGTTTTAGGCTTTAACTTATTGGCTGCAAGCTCAACTTTTCAACTTTTGGGGCTCTCATAAGGTAGTCGATTCTGAAAGTTTCAGTTAAAGTTTAGGGGTTTAGGGTTTGGGATGAACTTTGGATTTCAGGGCCTGTTGAATTTAGGGTCGACTTTGGCAGATTTGCAGGTTAGGGTTTCGAAGACTTCAGGCTCTTAGGCGTCAGATTTAAAGGATCTTCGAAGTAAGGTTTTTTTCCAGGTGGCAATTTGGGAAACCTTTTAATTTCCCTTATGATTCCTATAGAGGTACCAATTCATAAATACTTTTCAGAGCCCCCAAGACTACCACCCAGTTATTCAGAATAGACTTATAGGTTAGTGGAGTCAGGCTGTGACAGGGTAAAGTTCGCGATCCCCTCGGCTGAACCCTATATTTGGACGATGCAATATCACCCGGGTCCACGTAGGGACTTTGACAAAGCATATACTATTTGGGCACATGGACCAATGGGGCGGTTAGACACAAGAGTCCAGACTGACTTGACTCAGAGGCAAGCCAATCTGTAGAGCTGAGACAGGCATCCGGGGCTTGGGGCAGTTCCTATGGCACTAAGCCCTAAACCCCACAAGCCTAAACCCTAAACTTCTAACCCTAAGCCACTCAACCCTTAACTGCTAAACCCTAAACCTGAAAGACCCTACGCTGCTCTTCACTACGAAGCAGATGGAACGATGGTTACAATGACAGGCAAAAAGGACTACCCCACCATGCTGGAGCGCGCACGCCAGCCCGGTGTCCTGTGCCATGAACATCCCCAAACCCCGCGAAAGCCCACTCTGCTGGCGCTCGACAGGCCTCTGGATCATCTGCACCGAACATTCCAAGTTTGCAACATCCCATATCATGCGCGATTGGGAGTTGGTGGGGCAAAATCCAACATTCGAAAGAGCTGACTGCACTGTGGTTTGAACGGGATCATAAGCCAAGTCAAGCCTAGGCTGCAGCCTGTGCAGGACAGTCCGTCCTGGTCGGACCCCAGCGTCGCAGACCTCCTGCAGCAGACTTTCGCGAGTCGTAGTAGTAGTAGTAGTAGTAGTAGTAGTAGTAGTAGTAGTAGTAGTAGCAGTAGCAGTAGCAGTAGTAGTAGTAGTAGTAGTAGTAGTAGCAGTAGCAATAGTAGTAGTAGTAGTAGTAGTAGTAGTAGTAGTAGTAGTAGTAGTAGTAGTAGTAGTAGTAGTAGTAGTAGTAGTAGTAGTAGCAGTAGCAGTAGTAGTAGTAGTAGCAGCAGTAGTAGTAGTAGTAGTAGCAGTAGCAGTAGCAGTAGTAGTAGTAGTAGTAGTAGTAGTAGTAGTAGTAGTAGTAGTAGTAGTAGTAGTAGTAGTAGTAGTAGTAGTAGTAGTAGAATTGTGAATATAGTAGTAATAGTAATAGTAGTAGCAGTAATAGTCGGAGTAGTAGCGCTGTCGAGGCCTGCTTCAGCACCACATTGGAGCTTCAGCTCTTTGAGCACGGGAAAGACAGCAAGTAACGACGGGTAAGGGCCGCGTTAGGGGACACCCTCCTCCACAAAACTCCTTCATGGCTAAGACTGCGGGTTTAGGGTTTTCACGGCTTAGGCCCGGACCAGGTGGTATTCTGCGTGTGCTTCGACGACTCCTTCGACTCTCAGGTAGATCCCCCTTCATCCACTCGTCCCTAAACCGTAGAGTCTGCGGCTTGCCCCCTGAAGCCCCAGACTTAAAACCCCAAGCCCTAAACTCTTTAGGTTTTGGGGTTACCAGAAGCTCAAACGTTCCAAAGCCCCAAGCCCTACCACACCATACCCGAAACCCAAAACTCTGAAGCAGAGGAAGACTTCCCCAAACATCCTACTGTCCACAGCTTCAGCCCCTCAAGACTCCCAGAAAATGTGAAACACTGAAGCTTAAAATACCTTGATTCATTATTCAGGGTTTAGGGTTTTTGGGCTTGTTAGGGTTTAGGGTTTTGTCCCTGGACCCCCGAATCCGCTAAGCCAGGGCCATTCGAAAGCCCAGGTGCCTGGCTCCGGTTGCCTTTTTCAACCTCGCAGGCCCCAGACAGACACAACCAACAAACGGGTACGCGGGGTGAGAGGGTTTAGGGTTTTAGGGTTTAGAGGTTTGGGGTTTAGGGGTTTAGGGGTTTAGGGTTTAGGGTTGTGAAGGTTTCTAGTGGCTGAGGGTTTGGAAGTTTTTTAGGGTTTGGGGTGTAGGGTTGATATCCGGGTAACTTTCGTAAAGGTGTCATAGAAGGCTCCTCCTCCCAGGACCATTAAGCCCTGAACCATAGGGCTCCGGAAGGTTTGAGGGTGGAAGCAGCAACAGTTTCAGCGTTCCTCAAGGGTTCTATTCGGGATTTATAAAATGGGGGATACTGTATCACAAGGCTCCCATCGGCTTTCATAGGGGTCCAAGAGGTTACAATGAGGGCTTTGTGAGGGTAACATTAGGATCTTTGGTTTGGGGCCGTACGGTCAAAAGTTTAGGCCGAGGGGTTCGCAATCTATGAGCCGGGCTAAGGGGAACACAGGGCTCCGTGGTTGCTGGTCTTAAACCCGAGACCCTGATCCCAGGGTTAGGAGTTTAGGGTCCCTGATGTAGGTTATGCAGGCCCTGAAAGTCTAAATCTGAAGCAGCTGACATCGAAGTATACAATGAACACATGCCTCAACTCCGTCGGCGCTTGAGTGCTCCGTCTTGGATCGGACTTACCTAAACCCTAGGATGTATTGTTGGTTTTGTTTGGCTATAGCATCCTGTAATCAAGAACTTCAGGTACCCTAAAACCTGGTACTGCAGTCTGCGCTGTTCAACTTCGGACACAGGGCTCACGGCCCGTGTGATGCTCTCAGTGGTAGACGTTATCCATCAAGCTGCTTTCTGGGTAGTTCGGCACTGAAGGTTTATATCGTACCTTCTTACGGCTCATGATACTATAGTTTCCTTAGGACCTATTTTTCATGTTTGTTCATATAAAACCCATGAGAGTATTGAAAGATATGATGTTCATTATGGTTCTCAGGGGGGGTATAGGATAAGGGAACCCCAAACAGGTCGGTTTCATAGGGTCCAGGTAGGGGTTTTTACAGCAAGCCGAGCCAGGCACAATGCGCGAGGAGTCGAAGTCATATGTGAACGAAGACGAGGCGACGTGCCATCATCTTACCTTTGGCTAGTGGGGAATGGAGTAATGGGGTACAATTACAATTACTATTACTACCATTCTTCCATTCCCTAGTAAAGAAAGGTAAGTCATGAAGCAGTCACGCCGAATTGGCGGTTGCTAGGGTTTGGAGCATTGGTTGCCGGGATCAGTTGTTGTTGGTAGCCTGCGGGTGTGAAGGATTGACAGATTCATGAGAAAGTTCGTATGCCGCAGACTGTGCTCCAACTGGAAAATTTCATGCATGTCGTGACAACCAAGGCTTTCTAGACGACGCAACCAGATTTCTAAGTATTGTTACAGCATTAAACATGTTTTGATTTTGCTATGCTAGTTGTGTGATAAGTTGGTTTTCATAGGTAGACCTGTGGTTACTATTCTCATCATTGCTACTAGATTTACAGTTGTTACCAATACACTTATGAACTGAAATAGGTTAAGCCCCATGAGGCCCAACACTCCCATATAGTTAATATGCAAACCCTTTCAAGTCTAGTCTCCCTCGCGAAGCCCCTCCCAACCCGACCCCCTGTCAGACCAGCCCATCCCAGCGATTGAACTGTCAGTTCAAAAAGACTTTCTCTAAACCAGCCTAGCTTTGTGCTGTGTGTCGCAAATTCAGTCGTGTGAGTAAGCTTGCCTGTAATTTCACCAAAACACAGCAAGGGAACAAACCCCAATCTCAGAAAGGACAACTTACGACATCCACCTACAAATTGAGCACTTGTAAACGCTGCACCTTGATCCCTAGACCCTGCACCCTAATTCTCGAGTTTTGGACTTCTGAAGAGGCTAATTTCATCAAGGACTTCTTCGTGTGCTTGCGCAAGGCTTTTCCGAGCGAGGAGCATTTCGGGGTTGAGGGTTTCAGGTTTGCAGTTCCGGACTTTTATGCTTAGGATTAGGGGTGGTGGAAAAAGGGGGTCGAAAGATAAGGGCGACGTCACCATGCTGCGGCTCTTAGTGTCGATGACGATGACGATGAGTCTGCTGAAAGTGATGATAGTGAAAACTCTGATCATGGTGATGAAGAAGCTGCTGCTGCTGATGATGATGCTGGTGCTCACGGTCATGATGGCAACGCTGATGATGGTGACGGTAATGATACTGATGATGCTGATGCTCACGACCATGATAACAACCATATATAATGGTGATGGCAGAGATGATGATGACGATGATGCTGATGATGGTGGTGGCGGCGACGAGGACCGACGGACCGACGGAAACAAAGGTGTTGGTGGCGTGGCATCAAAGACGGAGCAGCCGAGCAGGATAAAGGTTGAGTTTCGCATTAAGCACCTGTTCGCGACTGTAGGCAATGCTGCTTCGCGAAACTATACGCTACAGCGGGTCATGCCCAGCATTCTGCAGTGAACTGCAACGCCTCTGCCGAAGCTAGTTTCCATCTTCCTGGTGTGAATCCAGCATGTCAGCCATGATGCTCAGCGGAACCCTCACGCTTAGAGCTCGCAAGTGCTTTCTTGGCGTAAACGCCGCACAGCAGCACACCGTTCTTCAGTTACAAACCAAAGACTCATGGGTGTATCGTTGTCCGCCGGCTGCCCTGCAAAATGAAGCAAAAATAGGCATAATCCACTCTGCCTTGAGGGTACGCCCAGGGGCGAAGTTCGGAAGAGTCCTCAGTGGGGATCTGCAGGCATTCTCCTGGATGAAGATATAAAGAATCGCGCACATTCACTGATGTGTATATATATATATATATATATATACATATATATATATATATATATATATGGGTGGTTGTCAACATTATGGTCCCCATTTGGGTACCCTAAATATTATGTGCCGTATTATAATAAGGACCCAAAAAGGGACCCTAATTTTGACAACTACCCATATATATATATATATATATATATATATATATGTATATGTATATGTATCTTTCTCAGACAGAGCCTGCAAAACCCAGACAAAGCCGATTCTGGGTTTGTGCTTTGTGCTAAATTGAAATACGAAGGCATCAGACCCTAAGTCCTAATAAAACCTCAACCTGAAACCCGAAGCAAAAACCCAGTAGCCGCAGGACTGGAGGAGGAAGCTGGCTGTCATCTCCCCTTATGCCCAGCAGGCACCCTCTTTGTTGGCAACAGGGTTTATCAGGGCTACCTCTATCATGCTTATAGGGCATGGGGTCTAGAGAGCTTATAGGGCTTATGGCGTTTTTGTTAGAGGAGTTTTTGTTTGGGCGGGTTCAGGGTTTAGGGTGTAAGTGAGTTTAGGGTTCAGGCGGGTTTTGGCTTTCGGGTGTACTAGAAAGAGAACACCCTGGAATTGCTACTTCTCGTTCACCATCTTGCTTTTCGTTTTTATTCGCATATACCTCGTGGTTGTTGACGTTCGTAATTTGTACCATGAACAGGCCAGGCAACAGCCACAGTACCACCACGGTCCAAGGCAGCGTCGCCATCACAAGCGCCTGTGTGATGATTAGCATCACCATGTTCGCAGCCGTCACCGTCGCTATTTGCATTAGCATGGTGACATGGTCATGTTCGACATCGACACATCGTGGTCGTCGTCGTTTTTTGCCTCTTCCTACTTACGAGCAGAATCGTAGAACTCCTTGTCTAATCATTGGGATACGCATCGCGGTCACCAACAGCGTCCGCATCAGCGGCATCGTCACAGATGCACAAGGCTTCTGGCACCCACTGAACTACCACAAGCAGCTGACAAACTACTACGGCAAGGGTTAAGGTTTAGGGTTCTAGCCAAACTTGCTGAAGTATTCCGGAGGTGAATCTCATTCGGCACAAGTTCCGTGAATTGCCCCTGGGCTGCACGGGACGGTCACGTTTACAAATTGACGAGGAGGGCATGAAATCAGGTGCACTTTGCGTCTTAGCCAAAAGGTTAGAGCTTACCGGAAGGCACATCCCGGGTATTGCCTTGCTTACGTGGGTTAGACGGTTTGGGGTTTTTGAGGCGGCCAGACCAATTCAATGGTGTGGCTTACTTGTGTCAAATTTGCTGCTGCTATTACTGTGCTCTTTACTTCAAGCTTTCGGGTTCGGGGTTCTCGCCCATGCACCTTGAGTATATTCCCAGAGCCTCCAAAACCCCTTAATTAAGGAATATACCTTAAAGTATAATAGGATCCCTAATATGATTTTAAGGTATATTCCTTAATTAAGGGGTTTTGGAGGCTCTGGGTTTACTGTCGGTCTTGCAGGTGCAACTCCGGCTTCATGTTATACGAGTATGGGCAGTTCTCTAAATTCATGTCCCAGTCTCTGTAAAAGAGGGCTTTAGACATGGACCCTAATGTTCAGAACCCACACCCTAAACCCCTAAGCCTAGACCATAGACCCTGAACTCCGAGTCCCAAACCCCAAATCCTAAACCCTAGACCCCACTTGGAGGGTCGGGGGACTTAGTAAGTAGTTATTTTAGGGACTTATAAGTACCATAACCCCAATTAGGGTCCCTTTTAGGGTACTTCTAAGTCTACTTACTACCTACTTACTAAGTCCCCCGACCCTCCAAGCAAGGCCCATTTAGGGTTCCTGATGTTTCTGTAGAACTCGCAGGGGCCCTGTGACGATCCTGCCCTTGTTGTCCGGACCTCCGAAACCCAAAACACCAGGCACTTTGGGATTTAGGGTTTAGGGGTTTAGGGTTCAGGAATAAGGTTTAGGGTTTAGGGGTTTAGGATTCAGGATTTAAGGTTTAGGGTTTAGGGGTTTAGGGTTCAGGATCTATAAGGTTTAACATGTAGCGGTTTTGGGGTTCAGGGTTTAGGGTTTAGGCTCCCCCAGAGCCAGAAAAAGAAGAGCAAGCCCCAACAAGCGCGAAAAAGTAGAGAAAAGCCTTAACGGGATTACCCTATAGAATTCTAAATGCGAACCCCAGACAGGAACTACATGGGTAACGACCCAGGTACAACATCGGTGACAAAGAGCCTTGTCCTGTGGATGCCGTGCTCTGAGTAGGTCCGGGCTACCTAAAGGTTTAGGGCTTTGGGGTTTAGGATTCGGAGTTTTGGGGTTCCGGGGTTTGAGATTTGGAGTTTAGGGGTTTCGGGTTCAGAGGTTTGGTGTTTAAGTGTCTCCCTCAAGGTTTCAGACGAGTTCTAGTGGGGCTTCACAAGGGTTTTATCACGGGGCTTTTGTATGGTCTGCAATATAGTGGCCTTAAGTATTACCTATACTATTTTGGGGGTTCCTTATTATAGTTATGGGCGAATATACCCAAAACCCTCGTCTAATTAAGGCCCCTGTTTTATATAGGTGTTTTGGGCTTAGAGCGACCGGGCTTAGGTATTCGGGGTGCTCCAGCTTCGGGTGCAGAGGAATGTAGGGTTTGAACCCTCCGGGTTCAGGGTTTAGGGTTTAGGCTAAGGGTTTAGGGTAACCCTATGCCGCCAGGGAGCTTATCATTGGATCCTTAAGGGGTCTAGTGCTCTAAAGATCAGGTCCTTGGAACGATAAAGTAAAGGCTTTAGAGGACATCAGGGTGTCGGGTCGAGGGCTCTGAGTCGTTTCGGATTAAGGGTAGAAGTGGACAAAGCACCCAAGAGTCGGGTGCTTGGGTGTAGGGTCATCGTAGTTGCAGGTTAGTCTTTAGGGAAGTACATGGTTGCTAGGCGTTGGGACCTGTGGGTGTAGAGACAGGAAGTACATCTCACCGTGACTGTACCACCAAGCTACGATTTGCGTCGAGACAAAGACAAGGACAGGATCGACTTGGACCCTTATACTGCCCTTCTTACTACTGGCAGGTACCCGTATTCTGCCAGCTGTGTTGAGTCACGAGTTGAAAACATCCAAGCTCTGCACTCGACCAGATCGCTTTCAGACCATCGGGCGTGTCCATGGGTATGGACACGAGCCTTTATGTCCTCAATTGTGGGTTCGGGGTATGGCTTCGGTCCTTTACAGTTGTATTGGAATAGACACCACAACCCCGTTCTAGTGATGAAAGCTCGTCGGCACCCTCAGCCGGATTCAAAGCCCAAACTCATAAGACATAGCCCTGCACTCGCAGACCCTAAGTCGTCACCTGTAAAGGCAACCCTTCTCTGGAACCCTTTAGTACCCTTTAAAGGGAACCCCAACCCAAAATTCAGAGCCCTTAGTAGGGAACCCTGTAGAACCCTAAGTACCCGTTATAGGCCTTCAAATTGTGAAGACATCCCCAGGTGAGCACCGTTGATGCCTTTCAAGGTCGAGAGAAGGACTGCTTACTATAGGGCCCTAAAAAATTACTTATACTATTTTGGGAGGGCCCTCATTAAATTACAATTGCAATCACAGTAGAATGAGGGTGTTCAATGTTTTGGGGTTTAGGCGACGGCCAGGGGTTGAGGTTTAGGGTTTAGGGATTTAGGGGTTTAGGGTTTAGGGGGTTTAATGTTTAACGTTGATGGTTCGAGGATTGAGAGTTTAGTGCTTTAGGCTTTAGGGTTATGCTTGACCCTCGAGGTTGTATTCCACCTGCTCGACCATGCAATCTACCCATCTGTAAATCGGCACTGGCTTCGCCTATGCGGTATACCCAATCCCCATGAGCCCTAAACCCTAATCCCTAAACCCCTGAACCCTAAACCCTAAACCCCAGACCCTAAACCCCTGAACCCGAACCCTGGCTCCAAGACAGCATACAAACCTGTACCAGTAACCCTTAGCATAAAGAGGGAAAGGCAAGACATAGCTCGCAACCCTTATCATCGAAACATCGCGCACCTCCCTGCAAACACCCCAAACCCAAAAGTTATCATTGCAGGACTGTATCATGGTCATTGCAGGACTGTATCATGGTCAGCTACCCTAAACCTTTAAGCCTATAGCCTGAACATCTACACACAGCCCCAAGCCCTAATACCCGGAGCCCGAAATAAGCAAAACTACACGTAGCAAACACCTAAACCCTATAAGCCTTAACCCTAAACCTTAAATAAGTCCTGAACCCTGAAGCCTAACCCAGACCCCCGGGAGGATCCAAAAAGTAGATCCCTTGATGGGGGTTCCTGTAAAGTACCCCTAGTAGTATAGGGCCCTAAATTAGGGATCTACTTGCCCTTATAGATCCCTGAACCCTAAACCCTAAAGGATCCCTTAAAGGAGCCCTTAATAAGGAACCCTACTATGTCCCATGATCCTCCCGGGGGTCTGGGAAGCTTTAACCTCTAAACCCTAAAGCCCAAAACGCTAAACCCAAAACCCTAAACCCTAAAACCCTAAATCCAAAACCCTAAACCCTAAAGCAGCCCTTAAGCCTAAGTTAGCTGCATTTAAAAAGCCTAAGTTACCAGAGCAGGACTGTATCCTAAACCCAAAACCCTCCTTAAAGTAGCCCTCAGAGAGCTCAACCCCTCCAGAGCAGGACTGTATCATGGTTAGATAGCTTTTTAAGGACTTATATAACAAAATCATAATAGGGAACCCTAAACAGGTAGGTTCTTCAGGGTTAAGGTAAAGCCTACGTTACCAGAGCAGGAACCCCCAAAATAGTATAGGCAACTCTTACGGCCCCTATACTAACCCCATGTAATAGCCCTTATAGTATCCCCTTAAAGGAACCCTTTAAAGGAACCCAGACCAGGACTGTATCATGGTGAGCTTGGTGCGGGGTGCACAGTTGAAGTCGAAGACCGTTGGCTTCCTCCGAGACCGCCGGCGGATGCCTCTCGGCTTCAGGGTGTCCTTTAAGGGGCTTTAGGATATAGGGTTTGGGGATCCATAAAGAGTTCTTTAAGGGATCTATACAGGGTACTTTAAGGGCCCCTATACTGGGCTTAGGAGTACCATACTTTGATACCTTTTTTTCTTAAAGGAACCATTATGAAATGTACTGTTTTACTTTTTCCTCCGTGGTTACTTAAAAGCGCTGTATCATAAAGGGTTCTTTAAGGGATCTATACAGGGTACTTTAAGGCATCTATACAGGGTACTCTTAAGGGTTCTATAAGTGTACTTTAAGGGATCTATAAGGGTACTTCAAGGGATCTATAAGGGTACTTCAAGGGATCTATAAGGGTTTAGGGTTTGTTCTGTGAGATGGGTTCCGTACATGGATGCCTTGGTTGCCTTGGTTCCTTTAAGGGTTGCTATTTGGGTACGGCCCCCACTCAGTAATAGTTGAATAATATTCATAATATAGATATAGTAGGACCTTAACAATGGCCCTATTATAGACTCTTACTGTATGGAGGCCGTACCTAAGTTCCTATGATGGTTCTACAGGTGTTTGAGAGTTTAAGCGCTTTGGGGTTTTAGGGTTGCGGGTTTCCCGGCCTAGGGCTTGTGACTTGTACGGCGCTTGCAACAAGGGATGCAATGTAGGGACCGAAATATACAGTATGTTTTTTTTTTTGGGGGGGGGCTCTTTATTATAGTTATTGTATAACATACACCAAAACTCACTCTACTTATGAAGGCCCCTAGATTATAGCACCCTTCTAGATCCCTTAAAGTAGACCTTATGGACCCCTTGAAAAGGAACCCTAGTCTAATCATGAAGGCTCGTGTGGTCGGCTTAGGGCCTACCTACAGCTTTTGAGACCCGCTTTGCATGCACGTGCTGGAGACGCAGAGAGCCCAATACCCCTTGATTAAGGAATATGTCTTGAGGCCTAGGGGTTCCTTAAAGGGATCTATAAGGGTTCTATAAGGGAATGAAGAGAATATGACTTAAATTCTATAGGGCTTCATATTATGATTTAAGCCTAATTAAGGGGTATTGGGCTCTCTGGGGACGCCACAGAATCACAAGGATCGTGATATCAGGGGCCTCAACAGTGAAGGATCGCTTATATGTGGGCTCTTAATTGGGGATCATCCCAGTGCCACCTGTCTTCCTCCCACCTTTGGAGCGCTTTGATGATAAGAAATCAGGCGGTACTAGCAAGTGGTCTGTTTCATGGTGGTCCTAGTTTCCTGGTCCTGGACTAGTCCAGTTCCTGTCTAGTCTACTCTAGTCTTCACCTGGTCGTCCAGTCTTCTAACTGTCGTCGTCGTCAGTCGCGGTTACAGTCTAAGCCCCGACAGCCCTGTGAACTCTGAGGGCTAGGCCGACGTCCTACGCCCAAACCTGGCGGTCGGAACCCTGAGCCCATAGCCTAAAATCCGACATTACGCGTTCATCCCGAACCCATAAGTAGGGGCCTTAATAATTAGAGTAGGGTTTGGGGTTATATTATACTATAGTTATAAGAAGGAACCCCAGAACCCTGTTCTAATTCTTCAGGGCCCTACATTAAACCTTAAACCCCAAAGCCACCGAATTTCCAAAGTCACGGGCATCAGGAACGTGGCCTTCACGCGCGCTCGGCTGAACTTGTGGGCACGGGCCTCGGTGCCGAAAAAAGCAGAGTTGGGGCGTGGGTTTGCCATTGTGGAATTACTGTAGCATTTACAGCAGTTTGGCGAAAGGATTTCATGTTTTCTAAACGGAATAGAGCCCTCCAAAGAACCCCTATACCCCCCCCCCCCCCCCGCACGCATGAAGCGTGGACGGCTTCTTCCGCAAAGGGCCTTCTGCCTACAGGGCGGCCTCCTCGGTTGCTATATTGCTTTTGAGGGTGTCGGGTTCAGGGTCAAGGGTTTAGGGTTTAAGGAGTTTAAGGCTTAAGGTTTAGGGTTCAGGGTTTGGGGTGTGGGGGTTTAGGCTGCAGGGTTTAGGGTTTAGGGCTTCTACTTGAACCCTACAGACATTCCCCAGCACCCACAAAGATCCTTAGTACAAGCGCCCTGGTATTCTCAGAAAGCCCGAACGCTTGTTCATCCCATCCAAAACCCACAACAAGACACCACAAAGCCTCACCCCAAACCCCATCCCCTCATAAAACAAAGCGAGGAATATCGACTAAACCCAAATCCCCGAACACTAATCCCGCCCCCTCCACAAGAAAATCACAACGCCTAAACCCTAAACCCCTAAACCCCTACACCCTAAAACAACACAAAGAAACCAAATGCCAAGCGCGGTCCTCCACAGGTCAGGGATTTTGTTTTGCAACGAAAACTTTGGAACGACATGTTTTAAGGTGTGTTATTTGTTGTTTAGTTTGAGTTGAAGGGGTATGTTTGAGTTATAGATATGGGGTTTACAGGGGTATGTTTGGAAGCACTGACAACTTTATCCGTCACTTCTGGTCAAAGGTGTAGCCGGCTTGCCTTTGCCATTGTTCCATACAAATTCTACTACAGTTTGAAAAATATGCAACAGGGCCTGCGGTAGACACGGGTCCCTGTAACCCTCTAATGGGGGAATCAAATCAACGATCCCTCTAACGATATACGGAGTGGTGCGCAATCTCGGGGTCTTATTGCTCACTGCTCTTTGCGGACCCTGCCCCAAACAGGTTATCCGTAAACCTACCCCAAGAGTCCAAGTACCTAATAATCATATACTCTCCAAAATCCTAACCTACATAACTACTACCCAAATTATAATCCTACTTATAACCTACTTACTAAGTCCCCTGGCCGCCGCCAAGTAAACCCCATAAAAAGAGTGCCGCAGTTGAGGGGCCTAGGAAAGTTGGCAAAGCTGCAGCCCATCGGCCTGACAAGAATGAAGTCCCAGACCAGGGTTTAGGGTTTGAGGTTTACCTTAAGCCGGAATAACCTACCTTTTAAGGGCTTATATAAGGAAATCATACTAAGGGACCCTAAAAAGGTAGGTGATTCCGGCTTGAGGTAGGGTTTGGGGATTTGAAGACTTCCTCAACTTGAAACCCTGGACCCTCCAAAGCGACCTTGTGGGGTTTAGGGTTTTATGCAGGCGGATCCGGAATTCTGGTAAAGGTCTCAAGGTAGCAAAACAGGGTAGCTGGGGCCGAAACCCTAAACCCCTGACCCCTAAACCCCCAAACCCTAAACCCCAGACCCCCAAACCCCGCCCTAGACCCTCTAAAACCTTAACCCCGAACCCCTAATCCCTCGAAAGGGCGAAACCAGCCTTGCCGCAGGTCGTGGGTGCTGCGAAAGTGCTGTCTCTCAACGAAGACTGGAAGGCCCGATTGTAGGGCTCTTTCGAAACAGTGACATGGGTGCTCGTCAAAATAGGGGTCCCTTTGTGGTACCTTGAATTATATTAGGTGCCGTATTATATTAGGGATCCAAAAGGGGGCCATAATTTTGACAACCACCCACATACAAACATGACTCCGTACATACATACATACATACATACACACATACATACAGTACATACATGTTACATACATTACTTAGATTACATACATAAGTACATACATACATACATGCCTACATACAGGCACTTGGGGCCCGATTTCAAACATCTCGCCCATGCGCTCGAGATACACCTGCTACATTGCAGGTTCGATGTGGGTTTGGTGCCCAGGGTTTCGAGATTCCAGGTTTAGGGTTGCAGATTTCGGGTGTGGCTTATGTAATTGAGGCTGGAGGTCCCCTCTCACCTAAGCCCGGAAACGGTTAAAGGATTACGGCTTCAGGGGTTCGGGCTTCACGATTTGAGATGGTTTTAGGGTATTGGTTTAGTCCAATGTATGATTAGCCTAATCCCGCGACAGCCACCAATGCTCTTCTGCCGGCGATGGCCTCGCAGTCCCAACACAGCCATATGCCCAAACCTCCGTTAATATATAGATATATATGTATATATATAAATGTTTGTTTATATTTATTTATATTTATATGATACAGATATTGATATAGATATAGAATTAGATACAGATATATAGATATAGATGCCTGTATAATTGGCAATAGTATTCCTTATTGGGTTCCTTGTTATAGGTACACTGTAAAGGCCCCACATCCTATTCTAGTTGTTGCGGCCCCTGCATTATCTCATAAACCTCAACCCCAACACTGCTATGCAGACAGAATCAGAATAGGTCCCAAAACCACCCTCCAGGCGCCAAAAGCCAAGCTGAAGTCAACCCCCTAGAGCTTTCCAGTCCCTAAACCCCTAGAAACCTGCAGGCCCTAAGGCCCTAAGGCCCAGAGTCTACTATTTTTTTTTTGGGGGGGGGGAGGGGAGGTCCTGTTTATAATTATAGCATAAGGGGCCCCAAAGCCCTGTTCTAATTATTAAGGCCCCTATATTATGTCACCGAGACAAGGAGTTCATCGACCTGCTCGCAGGGAAGTGCCGCCTGCTCGGAGCTCAGGCAAAGCCGGGGCTTTCACGTTTAGGGTTTGGGGCTTTAGGGTTCAGGGTTTAGGGCTTTAGGGTTTGGGGGTTTGGGGTTTAGGGTTTAGGGCTTTAGGGTTTAGGGTTTGGGGGTTTAGGGTTCAGGGTTTAAGGCTTTCAATGCGTTTTGGGTTTGGGGTTTGATTAACACCTCTACATGCTGCATGCTCCTTTACGTGAGTCGTTATAGCAACCCCGACAGAACCCTTGTACCCCTAAACCCTGAACCCTAAACGCTAAACCATAAACAGCATATGCAACAGGAGTGAATGAAAGTCGAACCAGCTCTTTGCGCAGTGGTCAACTCCGACCTTTCCTAAGGTCCTGAAGCCCTAAACCCTTAAGCCTACACTCCTAAAGATCTAAATCCTAAACCCCTAACCCCCGAAACCCCTAAGCCCCTAAACCCTATACACCCTACCTCAACCCCCAATAACCTACCTTTCGAGGGACATATATAAAGAAATCATATTAGGGGGCCTAAAAAGGTAGGTTCCTTAGGGTCCAGGTAGATGCTAAAATGCCATTGGTCGTCTTGGCCTGCTCCAAACCCAGCTCCGAATGCTGTCCTCGCCTTGTGGATTATCTCGGGCTTTTTGGGTTCAGGGTCCAGGGGCTAAATTCTTAGGGATTACGGTGCAGGGTTGGGGGGTTGGCTTTTTCGGAGGCTTGGGGCGGTTGAGAGGTTGAGGAGGGTTCAGGGTTTTTGGGTGTAGTGTGGGGCTTAGGCCTAGGATTCTTAACCACGCGCATGACGCAGAAATCCCACCCCCCGAAAGCCCAAATCCAGATCTTCCATCCCCAGCCTCAAGAACCAAGTGGGCCGAATAATGTAGGGGCCTAAATCGTTACTTTTACTTAACCAAATATATAATTAGGATCCTATAACGTAACCCCAAAAGGGAACTACAATGGAGACTACAGGTATTTTGGGGGTTCGTTATTATAGTTACAAGATAATGGGCACCACAACCCCATTGTAATTATTAAGGCCCCTAGATTCAGAGCAGAGGCTCAGAGTCACGGAGCCGCGCCTCTTGCCTTCTTTCAACAGTGGAGCAGGGCTTCAAATTCGGGCTGTTTTGCTTGCGTGACGCATTGAGGTATCGGTCCGAGGCTCGGGGTTTAGGGGTTTAGGGTTTAGGGTTTAGGGCTTGGCGAGCTACCATAGGCCCCAGCGTCGTTCCTTTCTGTGAGTACCTTACAGGATTCTATACTACAAACCCCAAAAAGGAATTACTTTGGGGCATTTGGGTAAGGATTTGAATGTTGTCCTTATCTGGGCAGACGCCGCATCATTGAAATCCCGTAACCTCCGCTTTCTTCGGAACCTGGGGCTGTGTGGCTTGAGTGCAATAGTGGCCTTTCATTAGCGGTTCGACTTGCTAAGATTTGCTATTGTTAAAACTAATTATGTATCTGTCCTCGTGTTTTTCGGGCTACAGGATAGCCATGTAAATTTCGTTAGTTGAACGGCCTTCCTGGCTGGCTCAGAGGATTTCTCATTGGGGCCTAGGGTTTGGGGTTTGAGGTTGAGTGTCTTCGGTTCAGGGTTTCGGATGTAGGGTTTGGGGTTTAGGCTTGCGGCTGGTGGGGACTAGGGTTTGCGCTTTCCCATGTTTTGTTGGTTTCAATGCTGCTTTCGAAGTTGGAATAGATGGTGGACGAGTCTATGTCAGGCTGGGATTCATGATGGAGCTGGGCATAGCTAGAGGCAACAGTAGACTTGCAATTGGGATATGGTACCCCCCAAAGAACTCTGTTCGACTTCGGAAGGCACCTGTATGATTGTATTCCCGGCTCGGCCAACATACTTGGCATTGCTCTCTGATACCTGGCTGAGGTTCGAGGGCAGAACTGGTTTGCTAGTTTGTGTGTCACAACAAAGGAAACCTTGCATGCAATCGGCACCAGCAAAATACATAGCCAAGAGTATAAAAGGCGGTGACGACTACCCGAAAAACTGGAACTACCACGATCCTCCTTACTGAAAAGGATCAAAACACATATGCTGGAAGAGCTAGACTCGCAACGGTAGTGATGCTGAGAGTAAGTACCACCGGTGGCCCTGGTTGCGCTCGGGTTCAGGGTTAGGGTGTAGGTTGAGACTTTAGCATCAGTACTGACATCATTCATGGTGCGGTACAGGAGTCGTACATAGCAAGGTCAGGCAGCAGAAGTAACTGTAGACGACACACAAGCTGGAATAAGAATCATGCTGTTCATACCCATCACCATAGTGATGCTACCAACAAAAAGCTAAACCCGAAATTAGTAGCACTGAGGGTTTGACACCTAGCTGTGAAGGGAGTGGGCCCTTCAGTATGTAGACCTTTGAAACACCAACACCTCCTGTGGATTTCGTGTTGCTGGGTGCGTTGAGGGGTTCAGATACTTATAATATGATTCCTGATAAGGTTCCTTATTGTAAACTTACTATGAAGGAGCCCAAACCCTATTCTAATTATAAGGGACTCGGGGATTTCTGCGTGTTCGCGGTGCCGATCGCTGAGGTGAGGACTTCTTGCTGAGGTATCTGAAGCGGTGGCATGAGAGGCCTGCAGGGACGCTACTTAGAGGCCCAGGGGACTCTTAGTAAGTAGAGTAGAAGCAGGGTTATAAGTACCCTAAGTGGAGTTACCCCAATTACAACCCTACTTATACCCGACTTACTAAGACCCCTGGGCCTGAAAGCAACCCTGATCCCCCTAAACCCTAAACCCTATAAACCCTGAACCCTTCAATACCCTAAATGGAGTTACTAAGTCCCCTGGGCCTCCAAGTACTGCTTCAGGGGTGAGCGAGCCTCCAGAGTCATGGATTTTTGTCTGGTCCCTGAAATGTAGGTCCGCTCGTATCTGACTTTGGTCTCATAGTCGGAGAACATTGGGGACCCAGAAAGCACGTAAGCACAAGCATTTTATAGGGATATCCCTACCTTATTGAGCTTCATTATAGGGGGGTTTATCTGGGATATCCCTATCCTTGTTTTTGCTTATGTGCTTTTTGACAGCGGAAGGCCTAGGTAAAGCTCATGCGGTCCTAGTGTGCGATGAGTTTTGGCGCTTGGAAAGCGATTTGGGAGAAAAGGGTTCAGGGCTTGGGGTGCTCGGAAAGTCCCGTAGCAGAAAACCCACGCGAACGAAATAATGTAGGGCTCGAAAGCAACAGCCTTCGTGCCAAAACCCTAACACCGACCCGAAAGTACCATAGCATCCTGAAGCGAGCACGGCGCCGAGAAGCGGGGATAACATGGAACCTACTTGGAGGTCCTTGCGACTCGGTTATAAGTAGGGCTATCTTTGGGGTAACTCCTTTGAGGGTACTTAATAACCCTATTTTACAGCCTACTTACAAAGTCCCTTGGGGCTCTAAATACACCCTAATCCCCCTTATACAACCCTTATAGATCCCGTTTAAGGAGCCCTTCAAGGAACCTTACTACTTACAACAGCCTACTTACAAAGTCCCCTGTGCCTTTAAGTAAAGTATCGAGCTCGGCTGCAGGAACCCCAAGGACGAGTCGGCTGATGGTTCTGCCGTGCTTGAGGCGATGCAAAGTGTTGCTTTTGGGGTTTAAGGTGTAGGGTTTAAGGTTTAGGGTTTAAGGTTTCGGGTTTCAGGGGTAAGGGTTTAAGGCTTGGGGTTTAGGATTTAGGGCTTCAGGTTTATAGTGTTTTGGGTTTTTGGGGCTTCGCGGTTAGGATTTGAGGGTTTAGTGCTCGCGAGTTCGAGGTTGTTGAAGGCTTCATCTAGGGCCTTCATATTTGGAACAGGGTTTGAGTTACAGGGACGTATAAATGTCGCGGACAGGCTTAGGAACATTATTGGTACCACAGGGGCCTAAATAATTACCTATACTATTTTGGGGGTTCCTTCTTGTAGTTACAGTATAGGCGGCCCCAAAACCCTACTCTAATTCTTAAGGCCCCTATATTAGTTCTTGGGGCCTCTACTAATATAGGGTTGAGAGCGCTTGGATTTCAAAGTCTTCGGGCTGAGGGTGTGCCATGTCGGAGTTTGCGAGGTAGGCAGGCTGGAATCTGCATGCCCGGAACCAGGCAATTAAGCCCTAAACTTCGCACGTTGCCCTATAAACCCTAAAACCTACACTCTAAACCCTAAACCGTCAACTTCACCCCATTGAGCCTTAGCCTCTAGTTGGGGTTTAGGGTGTAGGGTTAGAGCGTATAGCGCCGCCACCTCGAAGCCCCAAGAGCCGCCGGGAAGCAAGCCTCCAAGCCTGCAAGAAGGCTCTACACCCTTAAACCCTTAAACTCTAAACCCTTAAACCCTTAAACCCTTAAACCCTTAAACCCTAAAGCCTTAAACCCCTAAACCCTTAAACCCTAAACCCTCATAGACCCGGAATGACGTCCAAAATCCGAAACCCCCCCCCACAACCCAAAACCAAGCAGAGACAAGACTCCTCAAGGGTTTAGGGTTTAGGGCTATCTCCCGCGAACCCTGCACCCCCAAAGGGTCCAAGTACCAATATAGTAGGTGCTTAGTACATATTCCTAGTAGTAGAGTAGGAGTAGAGTAGGTAACCTTTAACCTTTTTCGGGTAGTATAGTCCCTATATAACCCCTAGAAAACCAAACAAAGTTAACCTTTAGTTCCCCATGATACCCGAGAAGCAGGGTCTAGAACCCAAAACCCAAAAGCCCTAAACCCACATCCCAAGGCCTTGCACCCTAAACACCCAGAAGCCCCCAAAAAGCCTCCATGACAAGGCTCAGTCGGAGGAGAGCGACTGCGTCCTGGAGGCCAAGGCAGCTCGGTCAAAAGTTTAGACTCTGCTTGGCTCCCTACGGATTTCGAAGGGGTCTACAGTGGTTTAGCGAGGAATTGTCGGCATTCTGTCAGGGTCGTAGAAGGGTTTGATATGTCTTCTTCAGCCTTCTGTAAAGGCACTTAAGTTCTGTGAATCTACAGTGGCTCTATAAGGCTATAAGGTGACAAAGGAGGTTCGTATGAAAAGCTCCGGGCATAAAGGAACATGGTTCAGGGGTTGGGGTTTGGAGATTATGCGTAATTATGGGATTCAGGTTTGGGGTTCAGGGGCGTTTTGGGGTTAGGGTTTCGGATTGATTTAGGCCGAGGGATTTGAGCTCAAAATCGGTGTGGTCTTGGGCTTGGACTTTAGGGTTTGTGTATCTTGTTTTGACACTGTTGTCACGGCAAAGTCGAACGGGGCGTATAACCCTAAAGCTCCAAACCTTAAACCTCCTTACAACTCTAAACACCCCGCAAACCCAGAATTATGCCATTCGAGCCCTGTTTTCAAATCCCTGTAAGAGGCCGTAACAACCCTTGGCGAAAAGCAAACCTCCCAAGGACCCCTCCAGTCAGCAAAGGAGCCCGATAAACCCGCGAAAGGCATGTTCTCCCTTTAGATTCTGAGGATGTCTTCCGGCTGAGCCCAGAAGAGATGGATGAGCTGAGAGCAGAGGAGGTGCGAAGCATCTCGTATATTAGGGACCTGAATGATAGCATAGTCTTTTCAGCTTTGCAGTAAGGTTCTTGTAGGCCTGATAAGGGTGTCATAATGGGTCCTTATCTAACACGCCCAGCACCTTATGCCGCCTTTGAGGCGTGGGGGTCGGGGTTTGATGGCCTAATCGAAACCCTGAACCCTAAACCCTAAACCCCAAACCCTAAACCCTCAAGTGAGAAATAAGTAGAAATTGCTTGTCGTTGCTGGTGTTGAGCTCCCTAAACCGTCACTTTCAAGCCCAACCCAGCCCAAAACCAGGTTCCAGTCATAAAACTCTCCCAATTTCAAATCAGGTTCCAGTTACAAAACTCCGCCAAATTCAAAATCAGGTTCCAATCCCAAAACTCGCCCATGCAGGCACACCCTCCCTCGGCCCCTGCAAAACCGGGTTGGGATTTTGTGGCGCGGGGAGCACATGCCCGAAAAAAATCAAAGGTCACTTCTAGACTTCTAGGCATGATGTAGTAGTAGTAGTGGTAGTGGTGGTAGTAGTAGTAGTAGTAGTAGTAGTAGTAGTAGTAGTAGTAGTAGTAGGTGGTAGTAAGTAGTAAGTAGTAAGTAGTAAGTAGTAAGTAGTAAGTAGTAAGCAGCAGCAGCAGCAGCAGCGGCCGTGGCCGTGGCGGCCGTGGAGGCTGGGCTAGGGTTTCCGGTGTATGGTTTAGGGCGCCTCGGCTAGGGTTTAGAATTTAGGTTTTCGGGCGGCGTTGGGTGCAGGGTTAGTCTAGTTAGTAGTTAGTTAGTAGTCTTCACTTGAGGTTATAGGATTCGGTTTAGGGCGCCTTCCACGGCGACGTTAGTCTAAGCGCCTTTCACGGCGATAGCATTTAGTATACTTACTAGTCTTTAGTTTAGGATTTATAGGATTGAGGTTTTAGGTTTAGGGTTTAGGGGCGCCTGCCACGGCGTTAGGATTTAGGCTGCAGGCTGTAGGGTTTAGGATTTAGGGTTGCAGGTGTAGGGTTTAGGGCGCCTACCACGGCGAGGCTGAGGTCCTAAACCCTAAACTTCTGAAGGTCCTAAACCCTAAACTCCTGAAGGTCCCAAACCCTAAACTCCTGAAGGTCTTAAACCCTAAGCTCTCGCCTTCGCCGTGGACGTGGAAATCGGCGCCGGGGGCCACAGCCACATCAGGTCTGCAAGGTTTCTAGCCTCTGGTCACTGGTCGATAGAGCAAAGTAGGTAAGGGAAGTCGGCAAAGTAGATCCGTAACTTCGGACACAGAGGGCTGCTAGGCAATGAAACCCAGGTTTAGTCAGGGCTCAGGGCTAGGTAGGGGTTCGACCTAGCTTGAATTTTAATTCAGGTTAGGTTTAGGGTGTAGCGGGTCAACCAAGGTCTAGGGCCGGGAGTAAAATAGGTTAATTCTTTAAGATAGCGTTAAAATTTTGGTGGCATTTGGGGTGAGCCCTAACCCTAAGGCCCTAAGGTTTAGACATCAAGCCCTAAGCCCTAAACCCAGTGAGTGCGCAGTTTGATCACGGTCTCCGGACCGTGGTGCCAAAGTCTCCGGGCTTTGGCCGTCACGACCTCCGGGTCGTGGCCGTCACGACCTCCGGGTCGTGGCTACCACGGTCTCCGGACCGTGGTGCCAAAGTCTCCGGGCTTTGGCCGTCACGACCTCTGGGTCGTGGCCGTCACGACCTCCGGGTCGTGGCTACCACGGTCTCCGGACCGTGGTGCCAAAGTCTCCGGGCTTTGGCCGTCACGACCTCCGGGTCGTGGCCGTCACGACCTCCGGGTCGTGGCTACCACGGTCTCCGGACCGTGGTGCCAAAGTCTCCGGGCTTTGGCCGTCACGATCTTTGGGTCGTGGCCGTCACGACCTCCGGGGCGTGGCTACCACGGTCCCCGGACCATGGTGCCAAAGTCTCCGGGCTTTGGCCGTCACGAGTGGCCGTCACGACCTCCGGGTCGTGGCTACCACGGTCTCCGGACCGTGGTGCCCGTAAAACAATTTTAAATGCTGAACCCTAAAGCCTAACGAACCCTAAGCCCGTACAACCATAGACCTTAAACCCTGAACCCTAAAGCCTAAGGAACCCTAAACCCTATAAGCTCGGGTTGGAGGGTTGCCGGTTCAGGAGGTCGCGGGAATTTCAGGTTCAGGTTTGTTTTCGCAGAATATTTCAGATTTTAGGCCTTGGGCTTACTTGAAAATACCACCATAACCTGTCTGACATTCCCCAGCGCCTTCGCTGTCTTGTGCTCAGCTGCCGGGCGCGGGAGGGCAGTTTAAACCTGTGCTGCAGGGGCTTGTTCGGGAGGTTGCAGTCAGATTCTTGCCGTGGGTAAGTGCATCGAAGTCTTGTGCCACTGCTTGATCGGGAGTTTCAAAATATAAAAGACTTAGTTGGTCGAGCTCCTGCCGCGAGGTCCGGGACATCGCGGCAACCTCCGATGCGGCCGGTCTTGGCGAACGAGGCGCGAATTCAGCATTGCTGCTCAAGATCCGACATGATTGTTGCGTAGCAGAGCAAGGATCCTGAATGCTTGCTGTTTGCACGCAGTCTGATTGCCCAGCCCCTTGCACTTCGCAGCACAAGCTCATCTTAGACATGCTCTGCAGCATATCTTCAAGCTGATTCGAAACGAATCAGCAGCACCGACAGGGTTCTGAGATTCGGAATACATGCATGATTTCATGTGAGAGCCATCGCATTGTCAATTGTCGCATGTCGCATGGACCAGATCAGACTGAACGTGTAACTGTAACACCACTTTCATCTCGATTTTCGGGAAGCTTGTGAAGCCATGCCGGGCTCCCGCGACAGGCGCCGCCACAAGGACAGGGGTCGCTCACAAGAGTGGATGGTCGTAAGTATTAGTTACATGCAGTAGGCGTACTTCATTCTGATAGAGACGTCTATTCCCACCTAAGTTCGTTTGTGTGACGTGCTGGATTTGGACTCAGTCTGCCGAGGGATCTCCATGTAACTTTATTCGACGCTGTACATATACATTCCTGTTATCTAGCATTGCTCTGTTGAGAATATTGTCTTTTTCCAACGACATTCCAAGCATTATCGTTCTCGAGAAAGAGCTTAGGACTTTCCCTGCATTAGACAGTCAAGCAGACGACCAGTGGCCGCCAGGAGGAGGAAAAGGACAACGAGAAGAAGAAAAAAAAAAAGAAGGAGAAGGCCGACAAGAAGGGCGACAAGAAGGGCAAAAGCAAGAAGGAGGTCAAGAAGCTCGCCGAGGAGTCCGAGGAGGAGGGGGAGGAAGAGGAGGAAAAGAGTGTGGCCCATGCGGCTTCCTCAAGCGACCTTCGGCAGCACACAGAGATTCGTGCCTTTATGGTTCATGTTGAATTTATTTCCTGTTCTGGAACTCAGGGGTTGGTGCGAGATGCGGAAGGCCGCGAGGTCCAGCCGAAGCTTCCGCCGAAGCACTTTGATGCAGCTTCTCAGCTGCAAGCCCTGTCCCCCAAATCTTGTGCGGCACATTGTCTTAACCCGACAACCAAATGCAAGGACCCGACTTCCAACCGGTCCAAGAAGAGGCAGAGGCACCGTGAGCGCATGTCGGCGAAGGCGTCGGTTCCTAAGCCATCGGCGCCTTCGACGGGGCCGACGCCATCGGCGCCTTCGACGGGGCCGACGCCATCGGCGCCTTCGACGGGGCCGACGCCATCGGCGCCGTCGACTTCGGTGCCATCCGTATCTTGATTGCCGTAATCGTCTGAGTCCATGCCAACTTTAAAAAAGGATGCACTGTCTGAAAAGCCTTTGCTTTTGCCTTGAGGATGCGGGCAGAGACGAGATTGCCTGTCACAGGCAGATGAGCTTCCTCACGGAGTGTATTGCGCCCGGCCTGCAATTGGCAATAGGCTTTTGTTCTGTGGAGTGTAGCCGCAGCAGCAGTGAGCAGCCGCTTGGTACTCAGTTGAGCAACACTTTGCCGGCCACTGCGTGGGCACCCATGATGGCTCGCTACCACGACATTCCGGAGTCACAGGCAGCCTGGCAGCCATTTACTTCTGACGCTCCTTGAATATTTCTTGCTTCAGGTGGTGGTCCCGGATATGATCCGGAATTTGCTGCCGGTCCCTGGGCCACCACCGCGGCCGCGACCACCACCGGAGGTAGTGACGCGGCATATCCGAGCCCTGACGCCTTCGCTCCCAGTTCGCCCTGCAGCGGGAGGAGCGGGGGTTGGGCCTGTAGCGATGCCAGTTAGGGTCCCACTTTGCCCTCCAAGGGCTCGCCGTGCAGGAGCGCGGCCAGGCGCTGCTTCGCCTGCAGCACCAGGAAAGGGACCGGGAAAAGGTGCTGGCAAGGGCCCCCGAGGCTAGGAGGTTCATGGGACATCACATGTAAGCCAGCTGAGGACTTCCACTTCATACAGAAGCTTCCAGGCTTAAAATCAAAGATTCCCTGATAAGAAGGAGCCAGAAGTCCCACGAACCTACTAGCCAGTCTTCCAGCGAGAGTGCCTATCGCTGCGGGCGAGGCGATTGATGGAAAAAAGTGTCTTGCAAAGCTGGCCTGCAGTTGCTTGTTTTACTAAGAGAGCCTGGTTGCTACATCATCCCGGTGCAGGTCTTGCCTCGGATCTTCATCAAGGACCCGCACAGGAGTGGTGCCGAAAACTCCGAGCTGCGAGGGTCTTGCTTTCCTTGTGGCGCCTTGCCTGTTTGAAGCCTTGCCTGAGTCGAGCACCGCAGCCCTTTTCAGCTCGTGTTCCCGCTCCCCATCATGGACCTCAGCGAGTCGTTCCAGTTCGACCAGGGCGGCGTGGACCGCCGCGGTGCCCTCCGATCGCTGGACTTCTTTGAACTTGCGCCGTCCTCAGGTCCCTCGCTTCTTGGGATTTTTCACACGCTTCCTCTGCAGGTCACGATGCAGCTCGAAATCGCCCAGATAATGGCGGCCCGACTGAGGCGGTGGGAGCGCCAAAGCAGAATGCTTGATCATCTCACTGCCCAGGCCTGTCCCTCTCTCTCCCCCTCTCTCCCCGCGCAAGTTCGCCTAGCAGGCGCCTTCAGCTGATGCCCCGGAGGCGGAGATGGAGGCTCGCCGTGGCGGTCGTGACCCGCAGGCCCGGGCCCTTTCTTCAGCTTCTTCCTTTGCAGCCGGTGCCCTGCTAGGCTGGGAACCAGCGTGGCGGTCATTCGGAGGCCCACTTCTTTTTTTCCACTTCCCAGGTAGTCTCTGCTTTCCCCTGCCAGGGAAGGACACCGGATCGTGGTTGGCAGGCCCCTTCTTCGTTCAGTGTCTTTTGTTGCAGCGCTCCCCGCGCTAGGCTGGAAGCTGGTACGTCCGTGGTCGGGAGGCCCGCTTCTTTGTTTCAATGTTTTTGTTGCAGCCGCTCCGCCCGCCAGGCTGGCCAGAGCTCTGGGGTGTGGAGCGGCGGCTTTCGGGAACGGTCGAGGTCCAGAGACTGAGAAGGAGGCTTGAAGGAGGCGTGCCGCCAGCAAAAAAGAGGTCTGAGCTCCGAGGGTTGTCTGCACAGTCTGCAGTGGCTCCAGCGCAAAGCGACTGTCATGGATTATGTTGTAAATTCACTTGGTCCTTCGGGCTTTTCGGTGTTGGGGTGCGGCCCACGCTGCTTTATCTCCTGGGGTAAGAACCATTTCAGGATTTAGGATTTAGGGTTTCAGGTGTAGGATTTAGGGCGCCTTCCACGGCGAGGTTCCTGTAGGCGCCTGCCAGGGCGATAGGATTTAGGCTGTAGGGTTTTGGGTTCAGGATTTAGGGTTGCAGGTGTAGGGCGCCTTCCACGGCGAGGTTCCTGTAGGCGCCTGCCAGGGCGATAGGATTTAGGCTGTAGGGTTTTGGGTTTAGGATTTAGGGTTGCAGGTGTAGGGGCGCCTTCCACGGCGAGGTTACTGTAGGCGCCTGCCAGGGCGATAGGATTTAGGCTGTATATGGTTTATGGTTTAGGATTTAGGGTTGCATTGCTTCCCCCCAAGCCCCCTTTTCCCGAAACCTTCAGAACCTCCCTCCCTCCCTCCCTCCCTCCCTGTCTAGTAAATCGACACTGGAGGGTGACGGCTACTGTGATAACCCGGCCGGGTGGTTTGGCTCCTCTGGGCCTTTCCTCCTGGTGTGTCTGCCGTAGTCAGGAAGGCAGGGTCACCCAGTGAGAGTGTCGTCGGGCGGCAAACCTCCGCCTTGGGGTGTCAGGGTTAATTACCCGGCCCAAGTCACGATTTCTGGCCGCAGTGATGCCCCTACGGGGGTGGAGGGGCCGGAAGTGCGGTCATGGTGAGGCTTGTTCCCGAGCCTGGTCTTGGAGTACTCTCTGGGACGAAGTTGCAGTGGAGGAGCGTGTCTCCGAGGATACTGTGACAGGGAATCTGATGTCATGATGCTCCGCCCTCCTCCCCCCCCCTTCCGCCCTCGCCTCTTCCCACTTCCCCCCCACCGCCGCCCACCTATATTTCCCTAGCGTCGAGGCGCTTGCCATGGAAGCCGGCTGCTGGAGCGCTTGCTGGGCGAGACGAGAAGGACTGTTCCGGGTTTTAGCTACGCCGTAGTACCCGTGGAGCCCCGTAGTGGCTTTGATCATGAGGATTGACTAGGAGACCAGAATTGAGGTGTAGGAGATACCCACGCCCTTCCATTTCGTAGCTGTCCAGGGTGTTGGGGGGGTTCATGATTCAGGGGGCGGGGAGGGTTATAATAGGGGAAAGAAAGGGTATAAATCAAGAAGAGGTTTCAAGTCAGGCCACCCAACTCTCCAAGAAGCGCTCACTCACCCTAAAATCAATTGGAGCTTTGCTTTCTTGTGGATTCTCCGGCAGGGGTTATGGGGATTCAACACCGTTCCAGTCCTCCCTGAACCCAGGCGTCGCCTCCAGGTCCAGGGTGTCTTGCTTCAGTGGATTTTTTGGGGATTCCAACTAAACCCTAGACCCTACACCCTAAACAACCCTAAACCCTTAACCTTAAAAACCCTAGCCCTAAACCACACGGTGCATATGCCAATGGCTCAAACCCACTTCTGAGGCCACTGAGGCCTGTGTAGAAATAAAAAGATGTGATGATACAATTAAACAGGGTTTAAGCTAAATCTGTTTTTCCCCTCAGAAGCCTTAGGCTATGGAGTCAATGACTGCTGAAACCCGTCGTAGTTAAAACAGCTGAGGTCTTACAGTATGATACTGTATCCTACTACTACTACTACTACTACTACTACTACTACTACTACTACTACTACTACTACTACTACTACTACTACTACTACTAATGCGAATATTATAGCGGCCGGCCTGGATCCTCATGCCACCCTAAACCCTACACCCTGGACCGTACGGACCGTAAACACTTAAAACTAGAATAAACCGCCAATCACTCTGCCTAAGCCGATAGGTTTCCTCCTGCTGCCGCCATGTACTGGCGCGACGAGGGCGGTGGGCTCATCCAGGGTCGCAAGCGCGGCCGTGGCAGCCAGGCGAAACGCCGTGGGGAGGCTGCTCGTCTGATTTTCGCGTCTTTTACCAAAACAACCAAACCCAAACCCCAAAGATGTTCACCTCCAG